TCAACCAAACCAAGCCTGTCCGCCGAGCCTCCCAAAGGATAGATTTCACCTAGGTCTGGCAAACCCTAAAATGGATAAGATCTTTTAGTTCTAGACAACCTGTGTTGCATCATCATCCTTCACGTTGAATGAACAGTACAGCCTGGCACTAACCTGAATTCCCCATAAAGCAGCTTGGGATGCATATTCTGGATTTTGAGAAAGATCAAGTCCACTAGGAGCGTGAATTTCCAAAAACTGGCATTCCATGTTCTCTTGTATGCTCTTTGACCAGTTTGTAGTCTGCATTTCAACACTTGATTGGGCTAGAAGCTCCAATACTGCTATCTGATATCTGCACCAAGTATGTAATTAGATGCATCTCAAATCTGCACAAGGTAACAATATACATCCTAATTCAAAACCACTTATAGAAGTAAATTTATCAATGTAAACAAAGGAAGATGCAGCTGATTATGTAACAATAGAAAAACTACACTCAAGACTAAATCATGAGATCATTATACTTAAAATTAACAGATGATGAAATATTTAAATAATTAACTGACCCTATAATTCCACCAATGCAGTTATAGAACTGTTCAATTTCTCCCAAATTCTTTAAGAGCTTCTTCAAGTCCTTAAAATCTTCATCATTCAAAGCCACGCCACCAATCTTCTCCCCCGAACCCTCGCCATTCACATCCAATTTCTCAATCATTGAGACGAGCGCATAAAGCGCGCTCTTCACCGAGCTCCTCACCGATTCCATCTCGCTCTGGACGAACTCAAAACCCCAACCGAGCACGTGCTCTTGCCCCGCTGCAACCAAGCACTTGAACAAAAACAACTCGTAAGGAGTCAAATTGAGAGAAGCTAAAACCATAGAGAAGCCATTGCTGCTTGAATTGAAGAACCGCTTCACTCTGGGATCGCCCTCGATCACTCTGAGCTTGGCGCGGAGGGAATTGGAGTCGGCGAGCCTGGAACGGAGCGTCTTGAGGCGCGAGAGCTCTTGGTGAAAATCAAAATCGGGAGCTGACGGCGCGTACTCTACTGGCACGGTGGTTACGCGCGTACAAGAAGGCGAGCACGATAAAGAAGAAGGAGAAAGTGAGAATGGGTGTTTGTTGAGGCGGAGAGAGCTGAGAGAGTTGAAATGAGAGTTTGGAGTTTTGAAGGTGAAGAGCAAGTGTGTGTTGTTGTGGTTAAGTATTGGAGTTGTGCGCGCCATTGTTTACGGAGAAAATGGTAGGCTTTGAAAATGATGATGAAGAAGAAGGAGACAGAGAGGTTTTGTAAATGGAGCAGAAAACGAAGAAGAGAAAAGGGAGGGAAGGATAAGAAGGAGATGCTGAAGGAATATACGGAGGTTGAAGAGAGCGCGAGAGAGAGGGAGGAGAGAGAACCGTCCCAACGGTGGAATCGCGGAGTGTAGATGTTGATGACGTGTCCTAATTCTCGTCTCCACCTGCTATTATTCGGATATCTGTGGCTGGTCCATTTTATTTCATAATACTTTCCCTTTTTTTCCCTATACGCTTTTCAGTCTTCTCCCTCCTATTTTTTTCGTTTCTTTTCAATTTTTTGTTTTTTTTTCTCCCTCTAATTTTATTTTAAAAAAAATAGAACCAATAATCTAAATTAGGATTTTGAATTACTCTAAATTAATATAATTTATTAAGGAGGGATACGAATTTAGGTCCCTGACTTTTGGATGGCCCATAAATTAATATGAGGCCCTTATAATTAAATCATGCAATTAAGAATACATATCTTCTGATCATACTTTAACTCCAACAAAACAAGAAGAATATGGCACCTAATAAAACTAATGATTTTTTTAAGGACAAACTACACTTTAGTGGCTGGAGGTTTAGTGTCAGTATCGAAATGGGCCCTAAGGTTTCATTTTAATCAATTTCGTACCCAACGTTTCGAAATATTACCAATTTACACCAGCTATTACGTTGACCGTCAAAGTCAGACGTTAACTGCTGACGTGGCAGTCGTGGGACCCACCTTATAATCAAACAGTAATTAGAAAAAGACGAAATTAAGGGCAATTTCGGAAAAAAAATAATAAAAAACTCTTTAAAAATATTATTAAATTAGATTTTTTAAAACAGAAAAAAAATATATATATATCCCCCACACACTCTCTCTCTCTCTCTCTCTCTCTCTCCCTCCCCCACGACCAGAAACCCCCACCCCCAATTTTCTGAAACAGTAGCAAGGCTTAGAGACTCACCGTCGTCGCCACCGTGAACCACCGGCCACGAGACCGGCCCATTTGAACCACCGTCCTACCCTCGTCCTGTCCCGACCAGTTTCACCCGTCGCCGACCACGGAGCTCGCCGAAAACTGCAGAAAATTGGTCGTTCCATGACCCTGGTCTAGACATTATCTTAGCTTCTTCACTTCACCTAAGAAATACAAAGCCACAGGCTTCACAGTCTACCCGATTGTTGGAACCCTACCCTCCTTCCTCAAGAACCGCCATCTATTTCTCTACTGGACCACCAAAATTCTCATAACCTGCCCCACCAACACCGCCGTCCAGGAAAAATCGGAGGCATCATAACCTCCAACCTGTCAAATGCGGAGCACATGCTCAAAGGAGACGAGCTCGCTGTGCGGGTTTTCTTGGGCAAACGCCTCAATTTAAGAGCGCCATATTTATGGATTCAAGCACCATTTTAAAGCTTTAGGTGATTGTTGTATTTTAAAATCTCATCTTTGGAGTTCTGTGTTTGTGTTTATTTGTTGGTATTTGTGGAAATGGAGAAACCAATTTATTTTAAATGCTGAGGACGTTGTTCTTTCTAATCCTAGGTAGATTATTCTCTCTGCTGTTTCTGAGTGGAGCAAGGCTTCCTGTGGTTGTAGGGCAGTTGAGGTGAAAGTACAAACTCTTTTGGCTTGGGATTTTCCTGGGACTGGAGTGGTCAAACTTAATGTGGATGAGATAAAGCAGCTTTTGGGAATATGGGTGCTGGAGGTGTTCTTCATGATTGCAAAGGGGAATGACTTGGGGGATTTGCTGTGAATCTGGGGAAGGGTCAAATCCTTGAAGCTGAGCTTTAGGGTTTATTTTTTGATCTTAAACTGGCCCTGGATAAAGGTGCTAGTAGGATTGTCATTGAGTTGGACTCGACTCTAGCTGTTATTCTTATTCAGCAAATGGACTCCTATTGTTTTCATCCCCTTGCTGGTCTGCTGTATAAGGTAATCAATATTTGGTTGAACATTTTGTCTAAAATGATGAGAATCTGCTTCCTTTTGTTAGTCAAAAACAGAACACCCTCCTCCGTCCTAGTAAAAAAAGTGAAGAAAAATCAAAAACAGATTTTGACCATTAATAATCAATCTCCTTCAAGTTCCAAGCCCCATGCATACTATACTATTATTCAAAAGGCTCTCTGTTCTCGCTCTTGGGTCTGTTGGAGGATCTCGAGCTCTTGGGTCTGTTGGGTTTTCAAGTTCTGGGCGGAGAGAGGGAGGGAGATAGGAGGAGAGAGAGAGAGCGAGAGAGAGAAAGTAGGGATTTTTGTTTTGTTTTAAAAAATCTAATTTAATAATATTTTAAAAGAATTTTTTATTATTATTATTTTCCGAAATTGCCCTTCATTTCGTCTCTTTCTAACTACTGTTTGGTTATGAGGTAGGTCCCACGACTGCCACGTCAGCAGTTAACGTCTGACTTTAACGGTCAACGTAACGGCTGGTGTAAATTTCTAATATTTCGAAATGTTGGGTATGAAATTGATTAAAATGAAACCTTGGGGCCCATTTCGAGACTGACACTAAACCTCCAGCCACTAAAGTGTAGTTTGTCCTTTTTTTAACGTTTAAATATTGAAGAATTAGCACTAATTTTTATTTTGAGTTATTAAGTTTTGAACACCTAAGAAAAATTAGCATAGGCCTAAATACACATATATACATATACAGAGCATATATAAATTTTGAGGCCCCAAAATTTGGGGTCATGGCTGTCGCCCTCGGGGCCATCCAGGCGGGTCTTGATTTAGGTGCAACCAGGCATGTTCACTATGTTCTTTTTTTATATTACCAACACTACCTTGATCCGTTCAATTGGCCTAATTCACGTTTGTCTTTTATTTTTTCTTTAAAGAAAATTGTGTTATTGTCATCCCATTTCTATTTCCCCACTGAAAATGCCACACCCTATTGTTCCTATATTGCCCATGCTCATTTCTTCTCGTTCCCTTTCTCCAAACCTTAATTATTCTAACCCCAAAAACCATGCATTGTACACTTTCACCTCTTGGTGGATTTTTTATGTGGAAAATAGAGAAAATTTCCTCAATATCTTTTATTTTTCAAGGAAATGTTATTGGCTTATTGAGATTTCTTTTCTTTTCCTAACCAAGCTTTAATACAAATAGGATTAATTATTCAAATTTATTTTGATACAAACAGGATACAAGTACATTATTAAAGTAAGACGTCTCTAACCAGTGTTTAGGAATGACTTTAAAAGTTCTAAAACAAGTGGTCATTGAATCCATTTTTAATTACTTTTGGGTCAACTCCTTGTAGAAAAATAAACAATAAAATTTGTTTGTAATCCCGTTCGTTCGGGGCCAAAGGAAGCTTTTTAGTAATTTGCCAAAACAGAAATCTTTTGGGGTCAAGACTTTCTTTCATTTGGAACTTTTGGGTCCAGAATAGCATATCCAGTCAGTATGAGATGTCAATAACCAATTTCAATTCAACCCGATGACCACTTTCAAATTGTGAGAAGTTCAAATTTCTTTTTATTTTCCCATTTTAACATTTAATGTGATATAGAGTTGCCAGCTGCTCTCCTTTACACTCCTAACTAATTTTGGGTAACAAAGTTTGTATTTAAAAGGGTCCAAAACTTCGAATCAAATCCAAACTCAACTATCCCAAATCTCTCTATAAAATCAACATCTTTTGGTTCATTGTAATCTCTTTATTCCATTTTCTTCACACCAAGAAATTAATTAAAACACCATAATAGATCATCATGGAGCAAAAAACCAACCTCCTCCTTATACTCTTGTTCTCTTCCGCCTCCTTGTTAACTCTACCAATTCCAACCACTGCATCTCAACCTATCTCCGCTGTTTTCGCCTTCGGCGATTCTACGCTGGATTCAGGCAACAACAACCGCCTCCCCTTCACGCTTTTCAAAAGTGACCACAAACCCTACGGCAAAGACTTGCCAAACCACGTCCCTTCCGGAAGGTTCTCAAATGGAAAGCTCGCAACAGACTTCATGATCTCCAAACTCGGCCTCAAGGACCTCCTGCCCGCTTACTATGACCCGAAACTGACCGATCGTGACTTGCTGACGGGTGTCAGTTTCGCGTCCGGAGGTGGCGGGCTGGATGATTTGACCTTGGCCGTGTCCAAGGCCACGAGTATGTCGAAGCAGTTGGAGGCCTTTGATGAAGGGTTGGGGAGGATGAGGAAAACTGTTGGGGAACAGAATTGTAGCGAGATTGTGAAAAACGCTGTGTTTGTGATCAGTGTTGGTACAAATGACATGGTGTTTAATATGTACGAGTTGCCTGTGACTATTAGGAAAATTGCGTTTTCACCTTCAGAGTACCAGGATTTTCTGCTCCGGGCACTTGGATCTTTCGTTCAGGTAATTAAATCTTAATTATTTGCTTGCCATTGACGATATTAATTCCTGTAATTGAAGCCATGCATATAAATTCTGGCCATCACATCAAAACCAAAATATGCCGTAACTTTATCCTGGTACATTAGTTTACCTTAATTCATTGTAAAAATTACAATCAGTCTGAATCAAATCAACCTGATTTTCTGGTAACGTTACGTGGACATATCATATAGGCACATAAATTGAAATTTTTATATATCTCATATAATATATGGTGTGGGTTTTTTTTTGGGGGGGTGACAGAACCTATACAAGAGGGGAGCAAGAAGGTTCCAGGTGGCGAGTCTTCCACCAATCGGATGCCTGCCAATGCAGCTGACAATAGGCAGCATCTTCAATGGGCTTCGCCGTGTGTGCGTGGACCAGCAAAACAAGGACTCTCAGGCCTACAACACCAAGCTCCAAGACCTGATCTCAAGGTTGCAAGCCTCACTTTCTGGTTCCAGGCTCGCCTATTTTGACACCTACAATCCCATTATGGACATGTTCTCCAACCCAGACAAATATGGTAGGTTTCCAATTCTATCACCTCTCTCTCTCTCATTTACTCGTAAAATCGTCTGATACCGGATATCAATCTCAGATTTGTATACCTTGAACTGTTTTTTTGGGTTTCTCTGCTTATTTGTTTTAAATGTAGGGTTTTCACAAACACATGAAGGATGCTGTGGAACAGGGCTGGTAGAGTTGGGCCCTTTGTGCGGCGAGCTTTCATTGACATGTCCAGACGCTTCTAAATTTCTGTTCTGGGATTCGATGCATCCTTCCCAAGCAGCATACTCCGTTCTTGCTGACATGGCTCAAAAGACGGTGTTACCCTATCTTATCGCTTAATCATTTTTTGTTTTTTTTTGTTCAATTAGTCTGAAAAATTCATCAGTAGGAAACATATAAATATGTATTCTTCTTTCTTTTAAATATAGTTTTGGTTAGCGGCTTTTTGAAGCTCATCGGTGCCAAGTTCATCAGTTGAAACTTGAACCATTTGTGTATGCTAAAATGAATCATTCATGCCTTTGCACTGACATATATAATCATGGCTAAACGAGAGATATATAAATTCATGCAATTCAAAATGAGAGATCTCATGAGGAAAACGTTACTATTTGAACAACATTTCAAAGATAACATATAAAAGTCGATCATTTGAGATTTCCAATAAATATGCTTTTTTATTGCCCTAAATCACTAATCAAACAAAAGATTTACCAGGAAATAGGAGCCTAAAAACTCTCAAAACAATGTACATGGCCACCAATTGTGCATATATTTTGGTACTACCAACAAAGAAAAAAATATTCGTCTCCATCGTTATTCACCATTTGAATATCTTTTTGCCAATAATAATATTGCGGGCTTATATAGCATGGAATGGATCGATACAAGACAATACATACAACAAAAGATCGAACAAGTATAGTGGTGATCTTTACCTTTTTATGGCGGTAGAATATGACAACGGTCAATTTCATTCATTAATTTGGTCGAACAATATATCGACAAGTACCTCAAGATCTCACTTAGAATATCATTGTCTCATTCATAAAGTGAGGTCCAGAGTACTTGGCATCCTCCCATGCTCCCCCCTGCCATGACCACCACCTTCTAATTTCTTCATGCTAAGCTTCGAGGATGAAGATGAAGACAAGGAAAGAGATAAACTACAACCCTCCAAACCCTTTCCAAATTCATGATCATCTTTTGGTGGAACTTTCAGAGATAAATTCAAATCTAAGTCACAAGTAGTATGATCTGAATCTGGAGCCTTCCTTTTCAGCATGTTTTGCCCATCTCGAATTGCTCCCCAACTATGATCTTGGCATGGCAAGTTGATCATGGATTGGAACGACTCATCCCGGATTTGATGCCTTCTCCAAGTGGTTTGAACATAACTGGGAGATGGATAATTTGTATGTAAGTGATTGTTTGCTGAAGTGGGATTGTTGTTGTTGTTGTTGTTTCCAAATATCCTATCAGCAACTGAACCATAAAGTCCAATGTTTCTGGTATTATGATCAAGTAGGGCAGTCCTGTGTGTATTGTAAGGGCGATAAATCTGTTGTTGGCGACCTCGCCAAGAGGCATCAGTGGCAGTGCCATATCTTAAACGAAACAAATTAATTAGTACTGGTTATTAACTCAAATTATGATTCAATTAAAAAGAAAAGACTTGATAAATTGCTCAAAAGGGAGTAAACTAATAGAGCTAATTTATATATACCTTAATCCGGAAGAAGGCCATTGGTTGAAACTTTGTAACATGGAGAGTTGAGTGAGGTTGTAAATATGGTTGTCTCCGCCTTCCATGAAAAAGCCTTGCTCCGACATAACTGTCATAGAAGGAAGTAAGATCTCACAAATTTGCAAATATGTAACCCTAACTTTTTTCTACTAATTGTTGCAGGTAGCTCTCTGTGTGTATAAATTCAGTTTACCTTGATCGGGGTCTTCCATCTTCTTGCTCCTATACATCTAATCAGAGCCAGAAAAAAGAACATAAATCAGATGTATGAGCCTGAATTTATATATTTTCGATCACGGTATTGAATTTTATATAGTACAAGTAGGAAAAGTATATGTATAGATCATGAAATCTGGAACAAATTAATTACTTGAAGATGGCTCTTGACATGAGCTATGCTAAGACCCTTGACATTCATCAATTGAAGCACCAACTTAGGTGTTGCTCCTGCACCATTAAATCACAATTAATATTTTTAGGAAACTGCTGGGCAGAGGCAAATTAAAATCTTAAATCATCACATATTTGTGATTTATATATGTACGGGACTTACTTTCTTGTCCACCTAATCTCTCAACTGCATGAACAAAGCAAAGATGAAGATCAGGTGTCCACCGAAGCCTCGATGTCTTGGAACGAACATACTGCCGCACAGATCCAGAAACTCCCTTCTTCTCATTCTCTTCAATGGTGCTGTTGCTGGAGCTGACGCCATTGTTCCTCAGCTGCAGGCCATCTTTGTCCATCTCCTCCTCTTCACCCTCATCTCCCTCATCATCTTCATCTTCAAATTCCTTCTTGCTGATAGATGGGCTTGTTTCAGAAACTTCTTCAGTGGAGCTTTTACTCTTCATCTCTTTATGTCTTGGGATTGATGGGCAACAAGAAATAATGATAAGATCCTGATGAGATCATCATCTTCCTGTTTATGAAATTATATGCTCTGATGTCCAGTAGAGTAGATGCTTGAGGAGATCCATTCTATACATACAAGCTAGGCAGTTGAGCTATAGCACTTGGAAAAATGGAGAAATTGGAAAACAATGGAATTTATCTCCTAGCTATGACGCATGTGATTTAAGTATCTAAACCATATCTCTTTCTCTCTCCTCTCTCCTCTACATACATTATACAATACATGTATGTATGATGCAAATTTTGTCCATGCCTTCATGTATGTATATCTACATATACATGTACATGATATTAATTAACCAAATTACTATATAGGGGACCAATTACATACTTAAATGGTATAATACTAATCCTTATACAACCTAATTAATGTTCATATAAGTTAAACAAATCTTTCATGTCCGCACTTATGTATGTCTGAGACCAATAAGTTTTTGTGGTAAATGGAAATATTTTTTATTTGTTATCATAATATTTTTTGTTAGGAAATTGTCATGTTGCTCCTGTAATGAGCTAGGGTTCGTTACCACATGGAGACTGGGGCAAGTCAACTTTGTGAAGAAACAGCTAGTGTTTTGCACGAGCCTCTGTGCTGTGAAACAAGAATCCTGTGGGTTTGTACGTGGCTTTAAATAAAAAGAGGTTAGCTTGTCAGCTCGTGACCTGTGACTCATTTACATGCATTATCACATATATATCATCAGACCAAAAAATATATAATGTTTATTTGTAATTTGGTTGCAGGGTTGGCAATTAGGTTTTGAGTTCATTAATCCAAAACCTGCTGGGCCTTCCTCTCTGCTCTCCAGTCACTAGCAAGCAAATGTAAATATTAGAAAAATGCCACTGCCATTTTACCTAGAATAATCATGGATACATATATTTTGTCCTTACTGGAGGAAGTGGTTCCAAGAGTCAACTATATCATCTGGGAAAGCTCTATAATTTGGATCAGTTCACTTTTGGTATTCGAAGAACTAAATCAAGGTTGGGACCTTTATTAAATGAAGATTAACCCATAATCATGATACTAATTCCAGTTTTTCATTTCTAATATCTTTTGAGATAGGGTTTCCACACCGTGGCTGAAACCATTATAAGGAGAAAAACTTCTTTACCCCCGTTTTATTGTCCTTTTATCTCTCACCTTATATAACTTATCAAATAAAGAGAAAAATAGAAAATATGAGACAATAAAACGGATGAAATTAAGGAAGTATTTCTCCATTATAAGGCCGGCTTGCATGAGAAACAAGGGAATTATTAAATGTTTGAGCTGAAAACCAAATATTCTGATTCTGGCCTCGTGTATGTGTAGCCCTCTCATTAATATTTATGCATTTATAGGTTACAACAAATATAATATGATACATACGTAACCACTAAAGACTAAAGTTGTTCACCCCATCACAAGCATCCTGTCCTGAGAGAAATCACAGCCGTCAAACAAATGCCAGCTCTGTATCTTCCAAGAAACTTCATCACCAGGAAAAAGTATATGAATTACAATAAACTCACGACCCAAGAAGCCCAAACCGATGGAATAATATTAATATGGTGTGTTTTTACTTTGCTGAATTGGTCCAATACTTAACTTTATCTCATAATAATATAAAAGACAGACAAAAGAGAGAGAAATATTATACGATTGGCACAAGTTCAGACACAAAATGTGAACAGAAACCTATCGAAAAGAACATTATTATTATTATTATTATTTCTACACATGACATTTACCATGGCGGGCTCTGTTTGTTGGCTGTGAAAGCTATTAAAATACAGAGAGAGAGAGAGAGAGAGAGGTTTGTCTGAAAAGATTCGGCAGCATCCAACTGTGAATTAAGTCAACTCCCAACAGTACCTCGGTTTTATTCTTTGGGTTTTTTATAACTTTGTTAATGTAATTGTTGATTTCTTTTTTTCTTGCGTGAGAACTCGTGATCCTATTTATGCGGATCTATTTGGTTGGAGATGAGGATGTCTGTCTTTTTCTCATCTACCTAAACTTAATAATAAAAATCATCCATTCATCATCATGTATAATTATTTGTATGGCAATATGCCATGCCATGCCATGCATGTTGCCATCAAAAACTTCCGTCAATATGATAAGAATAGTTATTATTATATTCTGTTGACCATAATTCTACTCTCAGTCGATGGCTCTTTTAAATTTGAAAAAGAAAAGAGAAAAAAAGAAATTCAACGAAGACTCGTAAGAATATATAGAATTCGCACATGCCCTCGATTTTCATATTTTATACATATTAGTATATTCCTAATTATACCCCAGACATCCTTCCCCTCATATATCAAATCATCATGACATGCAATAACTGAGCTGTATTATATATGTGTGTCAAAACTCACAATGGACCACATCACTAAACCTCTTCGAAAGGAATTGGTAACTTAAGTGGTTAACTAATTTAAATGGCTATGAGTCGTTATTCCTGCACATGAAGTCATGTATTCGAATTCTTGCTTGTTCATTCGGATGTTTGTGTGTTATTATTATGCAAATGCCACTGTAAAGGAGAAAAACAAGGAGAGGTAGTAGAAAATACATAGCATTCGCACAATAATAACGTCCAGATGTCCACATAAAAGAATATATATATATATAATAATTTTTGCGATTCTTTAATTAAATGGGCATGTTATGTAACAAGTGGTATCACACAATGCTAATTATACTATAATGACGTATGCATGCATTAAAAGGAATAACATCGAACCTAATAATAGTTTAATGTGAAGGTATATTAGTCTCCTTTTCATTTGAGACAATTTATGAGGCCCGCGAAGGCGATGTGTTACTCACCGTGTAAAAACTTACGTATCATTTGATATATACAAAAAATTACTTGAATCCGATATCATTTGACCATTCAATTGAGTTATTGAAATTTTAGTACTTTCTTGAAGCGCCGTGTTCATTGATTTGGTATGACACAATTCGATGTCGAAATGGTATCCGATTTGTCTAATTTTTTGTAAGGATGATCTATGAATGAAGACCTGAAAAATAGATGCTTTGGATCATTGGAAAAAAAATTCTAGGGTACCCTAAAAGGCGTCCCTCAAATAAAATTATTTGAGGGATCCCTCAATAGAAGGGGACGGTATATATATATATATATATATATATATACAGAGAGCTTCCATTGAGGGATCCCTCAAATAATCTTATTTGAGGGACACCCCTTATAGGGCCCACTCTGGATTGTATTTCACTAATCCAAACCGTCTATTTTGTAGATACACATTCAAAGATCATCTCTACAAAAAATCACTTGAATCCAATATCATTTGATATATAATGTGGGGTAGCATTTGTAGTAAGTATGCGATGATGAAGTAATAAATAAACAGTTACTACAAGCAAGAATATAAACTTTCCTAATCAACTTGAATTTCTCAAAATTAAAACCAGAAACCAATCTAAACTTTCCTTTTCTTTTCTTCTGAAAAATCTTTCTGCACTATAATTACTCCGTTTGTCATAATATCTTATTTACTTGATTAGGAAAATATTTTATTTTATTATTTATCTTCCAAAATAGATTAGGGTTTTGACCCTATAAAACTAAAACTATATGCAAACAGATTGCGAGTTTAAGAAATTCGAAGTCAAGCAGATCAACATGGGTGATGGTGATGCTAGTGTTAGAGATATAATATTGAGCGGTTGTGGTTCTGATTTTGATCCAGAATGGGCAAGCCTTCCTCTGCTCGTTGTGTTTTTGGTGCTTGATAAGTTGATGGAACCCATCGACCATGTGCGATTTGCTGCCGTTTGCAAAGAATGGTCTTGTCTTGCGAAAGACTACAATCGTTCAACTTAGCGCTGGTCTCCCATGCTCATGATCCCAACCCAATTGGCAAAGTCTAATCAAACACTAGTCTATAGTGATTTTGAAGGAAAAATCTGCAAGAATATTCAGGGTATTGAACTCCCAGAACCAATGCCTAAAACCGAAATTACACATATATATAACCCTATATATAATAGGCACTTCTGTTCCCCTGGATATGGTTGGTTGGCCATTGTAGATTGTTATTATCATTATCAGGGAGGCAACAGACACCACGAAGTCATTATAACTCTCTCGAACCCTTTCAACAATAGCAAAGCAGTGCCGCCGTCCCACATCAGTCTCCCTCCCTTGGAATCAAAAGACATCCTATTCGCCCTGTCCTCCGGGAGGGAAGTCGAGACCCGCGCAAAGGTTATGTTGTCCGCTGATCCAGCTTTGAATCCGGACAGTTATGCGGTTATAGCATTCTTCCCTGGTGACTTCCATATTTTTTACACTGGAGCAAGATTCACTGAAGAGGGACGAAGTATTTGGCGCAACCATCGAAATGCATCATTTCAGTTTTATGACGCTATTTTTTACAAAGGCCTCGTCTATGCAGCTGATCACGTTCGTGGGTCGATTCACTCGTTCGACCTTAATTTGATGGAGGAGGAATTTGACTACTCACGCACATGTTTTCCAGCACAACCTTATTATGATATGTTCGAACACCATCCCTTTTGTCCACCATATGTTGTGAAATCAACCAAAGGGGACCTGTTACATGTTGTAAGATTTTGTGAATTGAAGAAAGAAGATGGCTCCTCCTCGTCCTCATCCCGTGGGGAGTACATCACCATGCACTTTATGGTTTTCAAGGTACCACCATTCAACGATGAAGAATGCGAATAGTATGTTGAGCTCGAAAGCCTTGGAGATGAGGCTCTCTTCGTTGGGGACAATTACTCTGTATCAGTTTTGGCTTCAAAGTTTGGTGGGTGTCAACCAAACTGCATATACTTTACAGATGATTCCATCAATTTTCGACAAAATGCGTACATAGCATGTGACATGGGCATCTTCAACTTAGAGGACGGAACCATTGCCCGACATTGCCCTCCAAGTTGTTGGGAAAAGGGCATGCCAACACCATTTTGGATTACGCCACCCTTTAGGGTACTCTACTAAATTAGCTCTAATTCATCTTAATAATTAATCTCAGTAGCCATGTATACTTTGACTTGTTTATTAATAATTTTTTGTTGAACCCATTACTGGTTTGAGCAGCTGCAATTATATTTCTTATCTTGTACTTGAGGCTCACATGGAGAATTGCTATTATTTCTTCAATCTTTAGCTTTTGCTATATCAAATCTATGGGGTCATAATTGAAGCACAATTTCTATATCTAACTCAACATAAAGGAACCAAGTATTTAGGCATCAACGGTCCGATTAGATTCATCACGCCTATTGCATTCGAAGATACGAGTACGTCTTTTTCTCATCTACCTAAATTTAATAATAAAAATCATCCATTCATCATCATCTTGTATAATTATTTACGTGGCAATATGCCATGCCATGCCATGCATGTTGCCATCAAAAACTTCCGTCAATATGATAATAATAGTTATTATTATACCTATTCTGTTGACCATAATTCTGCTCTCAGTCGATGGCTTTTTCAAATTTGAAAAAGAAAAGAGAAAAAAAAATAAAAAAAATTCAACGAAGACTCGCAAGAATATATAGAATTCGCAACTGCCCTCAATTTTCATATTTTATACATATTATGATTTTTTGGGTGAAATTCGACATTAGTATATTCCTTAGTATACCCCACACTTCCTTCCCCTCATATTATCAAATCATGACATGCAATAACTGAGCTGTATTATATGTGTCAAAACTCACCATGGACCACATGACTAATCCCATTCGTAAGGGGTTTTGGTTAAAAGCCATTACTCATGCACTCGAAAATCATGCCTACTCCCAATATTACTTGTGTAAAAAACAAAATAAAAACTAAACATATTATTTATTTATTCTAATTTTGCAAAAAGACTTATTCTTTAATTAATTGGGCATGTTGAGTATATTATTATGTAACGTATGCACGCATTAAAAGGAAAGAAATAACATCGAACCTAATAATAGTTTAATCTCAAGGTATGTTAAGTCTCCTTTTCATGTTGTGGAGAAATTATAGAATAGTACGGATGTATCACGTCAACGTTTGATATTCTCATTCAAATTTTAACACGTGTATATTTTTGAAAAGAAATTAATTACTTTATTACAGCTGGACTTGCTTAACTTTTATCTTTTAAAATAAAATTAGAAAAGTCTTAAAATAGAAAATTAAAGAATTTTCCAACCCTCCGTCTCTAACTCAACTGCGCCACCCCTCTCCTCCCTTGCTCTTCCTATCAAATTCCTAGGGTGGCGTCTGTAGCACCTTCAGAGCATGCTTCAACTCAATCCACATTGGCTGTGCCTTCCATTGATTTTGTGTTGCAGAGTGAGAGTGTAGTAGAGAGTGTGTTTGTAGCAAATTCAATGGTGCAAGCGAACAAAGATGTGCTGTGTTTGGGATTTGTGGATGCTGGGCTGTGCCCAAGTAACCCAAGGTGCGGACATTGTGATCAGAGCAATGGATCTCTAATAACTATTGATATGAGAGACTTAAAATATGTAACCTAGTATTCAAGAAGTAAAACAACAAAAAGCATCAAAATTGAAAAAACAACACAAAAATTACTTCCGTAAGTTCAAGTGACGAGCAATAGAAGATCACAACAGGAAATATATTCAACATACTTTGGCAAGATAAGGATCAACGTACAGGACTAGAAATAAATTGTATGAAAAAATTTTGTTGGAATATCAGACGATTCCATGATTTTCTAACTGTCTTAATCAAATGCAGCCAATATTCCAGCACCTGAAATATCATGTTATTTCCTCCATATGTGCAGCATAAAGCACCATGCTTCCTGAAATTTTAGTTTAAAGTTGAAAGTACAAAGGAAAATTGTAAAGCTGTCTCGACTCATATTCTAAGCAAACAAGTGGAGCTGTCAATCCGGAAGGAAAAAAAAACCTCAGATACCTGAAACGACATGCTTTGTGTCACCTCAAGTTTAGTCGAACATTAAATATCATAAGAAAAATAGAATCCCAGATTCTATGATGGAGCTGAGATGCTAAAGCGAAAGCCAGTCTTCCCACGGTCATGCTCAAATTGCTTCAGTATATAGTAGTAGTTGCACTGACAACAAAAAACAAGCTTGTTAAAACCTAAGACCATAGGGATCTGCTAACTAGGCAACCAAATGAAAAACAAGAACCAAACACATACACATGAACTCGGGTCAAAATAGCAAGCACACACATGAAGACAGGCACATGCACATTTCTCACTTTCATGGAGTTAACTTGTGTGGCTCATGCAAGAACAGACCATTTAATCATAACCACTTCCAAATATTTCAAAAGCATTCCTGATTCATAATTACCCACCGCTATCGTAATTACCCCAGCACAATAGCAGATCAGTTAATGGAAAATTTAATTGCTACAACTCCCAACCCTTCTTCTCCCAAAAAATAAAAAATCAGATTTACAGCCCAAACCAGAACTTAAATTTATTGTTTTTTATTTAAAAATCAGATTATACAACTAACCTCAAGGCGGAAGAATTTTGTAGGGATAACAACCCCAGCTCCTAAAGAGCTTCGAAATGACTGAAGGAACTTCGGGACAGAAAAGTTCCGGAACTCGTTCTCAGTCAATTTTGCGAGATTCCCAGCACCTGCGAAAATATGTCCATGGACCCCATGTTCTTTTAACCAGCGAAGTGGAAGATCAAATGAAATGTCTGCAAACGCAGAAACAGCAAGATCTCCTCCAATAGAATCTCTTCCAGACGATTCTGAATTCTCATCAGTGGAATTATCTGTGACATGCCTTCTTGGTTCGGTAGGTCCTAGTCCCCTTGTCTTGAATCCCCACACTGTCGTAGGGCCACCCACAGTGCAAACTGGAGAGAAATCACCACCCAAGAAGAACCGCTCTGGAAGGGATGAGGGCTTGTTCAAGAATCCGGTCCCCCATGGAAAAATTACTCCTGCGGAGATCCCGAAGTTAAGTGCAGCATGATAAAATCCAAATGGGACGGCAAAACGAAGATCAAACTCCTGTAGCAAACAATAAGAGAAGAAAGTTAATAACCATAATAGGAGAAGAAAAAAACTGGAAATAGGGCAATCCTTAATTTGGTTCTTTAATCCACATATAGCCATAACAATAGATCATCTGATTTGAATCTTCTAAAAATTATAGGTAATTTGCACAAAAAAGCATAATGTGTTAAGTCCACAACAGGGGCTTCTGAGATGGCCTACTAGAAAAATAGGACTGCAGTAATGGTTATCACTCAAGAATATGAAATAGAAGAGCCAGTCCAGACAGGAAATAACAGAAACATCTCAGTACTTAATCACAATCCCAGGAAACATTTTATACTTAATGATAATCTAATAATGAAATTATGATTTATAATATTTATAGATCTCCTAAGCACAGGGCATATACGAAGTACAATCAAGAGCATTTAACATGAACATAAATATATTTTCTTTCCCTTTTACCTTCATATTTTAGGCTTAAAAGAGAAATTAAACTTATATATAAAAGAAATTATAACATTTTTTAAACAATTTGACCACATGAATTCCATGAACAAAAATACAAAATCAATTGCAATTCAAATGCAGGCAGCTGGTTGCTTGATAGTCAACAGAGAACCAAAAGAAAGCAGAGAATGTGTACTAAACCTGCCGCAAGAACCGCATACTCCGATGATCAGGTGAAATGCCACCAATGTGACTAGAAGAAACAAATGAATAACCTTGAGTTGGCCTCAAAGTGGAATTTCTTCTGTCAATCTTAAAAGTGTACTTGATAGATGAAAGTAAGCCATGACCGAGCTGCCTTCTTATTGACCTAGAGGCCATTTGTGATGGATCTGCCAGAGTACGCCAACCAAGATTGTATACCAAATCATGGTGCTTGGATGAAAATAAGCCAAGAGAGAGCCCCAACATGCGCTCTTTATAAGAAGAGAACTCCAGCCAATCTTGGGAAAGCAGGAACGCGCGTGCCGTCACAGGAGTTAAAAAACCTTTGAATCTGGGCAAAAACACACCGGCACTTAACTCCGATGTTTGGCTGGGACCATATGCCAAAGAACCATCCCACAAATCCCCATATCCAAGCAGATTTTTGAACTTAACTGATCCTTCAGCTGTCCAAGACCTAGCCTACAAAAATATTATACAACTCTGTAAGTCATATGAGGGATAGCATGGTTAATACATACATATGTTCACATTTAAAAACAAGAGAACATAACATATTTGGCTTCTGAGCTTCCATATGTGCATTCATCACTAAAAATGCACCTCCTGATAAAACAATATCATGAGCCTTAAAACCGACTAACTGGGATATAGACACAATTATGTTTACCGCAATATTTGTGGATATGTGAGATAAATTTTACATGTACGCCGTCTCGTTCACTCCTATTTGTGCAAATAATTACACCATGCATATTTGAATTCACATTTGAACTCTATAATCAGAGTTTGCTATTCACAGTCCTAAAGTAAGCTATGCCTGTTTAAGAAGTCGATGAAAGTATAATAAATACATGCATATACTTGTGTTCGTCTCGAATACCATCCACATTTTCGTTTCGACCAATTCCTCAGCAACCAGACAGTCCTATAGCATTCCACGTACTAAACCCTAATCTCGCCAATTCAGCAAAACAAACGTATATATACGAATACACACAAACACAGAGCAATAAAGAGCGTACCGCCGGCTTCGTGTAAGCACCGATTTCGCCGGAAATGGGGCTCTTGGTCTCAACGACCTCCACAATTACATTGGCAGTTCCAGGAAGCTCCGGCGGGCCTGAATCAAGAGTGATCCGAACCGAATCAAATATCTCCAGCTGCTGAAGCTTCGCATTGGCAATCCCAGCGGCCTCGAGCAGCTCTTGCATGGTGGTAGCCTTCTTAATCCCCTCCAATTCGACCTCGATCAAGTGCTCCTTAGTCTTCGTGTTGCCCTTGATCAGAACATCGTGGACCCTCAGATCGACTCGCTCGGTCGACATCCGGTGGACCAGGTTCTCCAGTTTGGACTTCTCCGCACGCAACCGTGCCTCCTCGGAGAGGGGATTTCGTGGCAGAGATGGCTCTTGGTCGTCTTCGTCTTCGCCTTCCTCGTCTTCGTCGTCATCGACTTCGTCGGGTTCGGGTTCGTCGTCGACGGTGACATTAGAGGGACGTTGGCCGTCGTGGTCATTATTAGGGTTTTGGTTTTCGGAGTCTGAATTTGCCATTGGGGGAGAGATAGAGGTGGGAATGGGTGAAACGAGCGGCGGTGCTGTTGAATTTTGAAGGCCACTCAACAGTTACTTGCTGCAGCGTGTGTGATTGTGTGAGGCCTACTCTGTTTCTCTTGGGCCTTCGAAGCCTTTTTTATTTTCGCGCCTTGGAAGCCTTTTTTTCTTTTCAATAAGCAATGTAATTTTATAGTAAATGTGATGATACTCTTTTTCTTTATCTCTTTAAAAGAATTGATAGTAATGTTTTTCAAAACCCTAAATTTAAAATCATATACAAAAATAAAAGGACATTTATATTGAGACGATATCACAAAGCGAGGAAGAGGTAGGATAACTGATTTTTTGTAATAGGCTCTAGATTTAGATTTCTTAAATTTAAAATTTCCGTCTTATATGTTTCGTTTACGAGTGATATGATGTATTTAATCTTCATCTTAAGGCTTTGTACTCCATCAATTGACGTGAATCGTTAAATTTCATGCATATCTAATACATATTAAAATTTGTCATAGAGATTACAATTACTCAAAGGTTACACTATTATGTTTTAAATTTATACTTTTCATATTTTGTTATTAGTTTAGGATTTGTAAAGCAATTTTGATTTTCTAGTTACTACAAGAAAATAGAAAAAGTTTCAGCCTAAAGCCCAAAAGGGCTCAACACTGAATGATTATGGGCTAGGCTGGGCTTTCCCGGGGTCGTTTTCTGGGACCTTGGGCGAAAGGGCTCCTTAATTCAAATTCAAATAAAACCTCCCTCCTCCTCCTCCTCCTCCACCACCACCACCACCAACATTACCGGCATCCATGGCCAACAACGATCTCTTCACATCGTTAATCTCAGAAATCAAAGCCTATTCCGGCAAAGACCCTCTTCTCCCTTGGCTAAGGTACCCTTATCACCCGCATCTCTTCATCCCCATCATTTGAGATTGTATTCTTTAACCTTTTGCTTATATAATGTGGTTGCAGAGGAATTCGAAGAATGAACGACTCACTCCCACCTCACACTCTAAAGGAGAAGCTGCCTCGCTTCTTGCAGAAATGCGCACAGACTTTCGAGTCCGATCGGCGATATCGAAATGACTTACGCTACATTCGAGTTTGGTTAAAGTTGGTAACTTATCTGTCCCCTTTCTTTGTGATGATGGGTTTCTGGGACGTGTAGATTTTTCTTCATTTCTTAGTTACTGTTTGGTCAGTGAGAAAATTGAGGGAGGATGGTTTTGGAATTTTATGCAAATAATTGCACAAGGATCAGTCCAGTGGAGTTGGGTAAAGATTCGGTTTTTACGTTGTTTCTTTTTTGTTTGTTTTTGTGGAGTAGATGGATTTTGTAGATGATCCGAGAGCATTGTTGAGAACAATGGAGGCTAACCAAATTGGGACAAAGCACTCTCTGTTCTATCAGGCATATGCTCTCTACTACGAAAAGAACAAGAAATTTGAAGAGGCTGAAAAGATGTACCACTTAGGAGTGCAAAAGTAAGTATTCAGCATTTTGTTTATTGAGTGTATTATGATGCTCTCAGTGTCTGAAAGAAATAAAGCCATACTGGCTTTTCCTTCTATTTTGTAGCATTGGTTAAGTTGTTTAGCTAATTTGCAGCTTGGATGCCAATTTGTAATTCAAATTTATAGTAGACGTCAGACATTTGGCCTATAAATGACAGTAACTTGAATGTTCAGAAGTCTAGTTGATCCTTGAGCTAAAGTGCTTTATAATTGAGATAGAACACATTTCATTTTCCCAATCGGTTTGACATATATTAGTTGCTGCTTTTATCAAACGAGTTGCTTTTGCTGCTTTTATCAAACGAGTTGCTTTCTTTGATGCTAATGGTTTGAAATGGACTATTTGTTCCTCCCATTGCAATAGCTACTTCAAAGGTTAAAGTGGGATGTATGTCTCTGAAACTTGAACGGCTGTTGTATTTACTTCTTACAAACTGTTGAACAGGCTTGCAGAGCCCATTGGAGAGTTAGAGAAATCGTATGAGCAGTTCCTTCGTCGCCTGGAGAGACACAGGAGACACCGAAACCAGGTAGTTTCCTTCTCTCTTTTTTCAGTTGTATAGCAATTTTAGTTTCTGTTGGTCAGACTATAACCCTAAAACAATGTTCTACAGTGCCAGGAAAAGAGAACAACAAAAAGGCCTTTGTCAGATAGGAGTATCCCTCCAAGTGGAGAAAGGAACAAAGAAAATGCGTGCAGGACTGGGGCCAGGCCTACAGAACCTGAGCATGATGCAAATATAAGTAAGCATCAAGTGACTGCTAAAATAGGGTCAGATGAATCCAGGATGTTTGGTAGTGATGATACAGTTGTGGTGAAGTTTGTAGACACTGCCATTGTTGGAAAGTCTGAAGCAGAAGATGCATGTCACCATGGATTGGTGGATCCTACAATAAACATGAAAGAGGCCATGAGCGCCATAAATAACATGTTTCGAGAGCCTTTAGAGACAGCTCCAGTTAGTAGAAGATCACACCAATGTCAAAGGAAGGACGATAATCTGGGCAACGGATTCAAGGTATTTGTTGATGAAAACTTGGATAATAGAGGCAAATCAGAAGATAAAACGGAAGAGTTGAGTTTTCCAGTGCTGCAGCATAGGAGAACTGCTACCCAGCAGTCTCACCAAGAACCTTTAAACATTTTCATTGATGATGATAAAGATAGCCCTGATCAGAGTGATGTCCAAAATTCGACAGAAGATTCTACCTCACCTGCTTCACATGGAAATGTTTTTGTGTTTCCAAATCCAAAAGATCTTCCAGGTGAAAGCTCTGGTGATTTGGATGTTGGAGGCTCATCTCGACCAAGGTTTAGAGAGGATACCATGGTTTGTAGGTTTGTTGGGTCTACCATTTCGGATGAGCCACAGGTGGAAAATGTTTGCCACCATGGTTTAGTAGACCCCACAATCAACTTAAAGGAAGCCATGGATGATATCAATAACATGTTTGGGAAGCCAATGGAGTTTGTAAGGAAGAGGAGAGTGAAGAAGCAGGACAAAGGAATAGATAGAAAAAATGATTTTGGTGGCTTTTCTATACTTCCTGATGATAACTTAGACAATAAACAAGAGAAGAAAATGCCAGATTTACCAGGAAGATCAAGAGATGCTGATTTGTTTGAGGCCACTGTAACAACAAAGGAGGCCATGGATGAGATCAATAAGATGTTTGGAATGCCCTTGGACTTTTAGGAACAATTTCAATTTTCAACTGCTATGTGTGTAATGCAGATTTTCGGATTTGTTGTTGTAAAATGTATTGAGTTGTGCTCCCCATTTAACCCTTGTACTTGAAATTTGGAAATCTCACCATAAACATTTGATTTGTTTTGTTTTTTTTTTTTTTTTTTTTTTTGTTTGTTCTTTACTGCTATCTTAGTTTCCAATTTAAGTCGAAGCTGAATTATGCCTACAATGCCATTAAGTTTGTCCCCTATTTACTTTCACTGTCAAAAGCATAGAAAAGAAATGGGCAAATGAAACATGTCATTTCATCACTCTGCAGTACAAACCAATTTATTCAAGAAACAAAACAACTGCTGCAATGCGAATACAGTTACATTTAGAAAATAAAATTTTGACAAAAAGAAAGAAAGTAGCAAATTCGGTTAAAATTTAGGAGAACAATTAATGAGGGAATAGCTGGTGTGCCAAATCAAGAGTGAGTATTGGAGCAATGAGAAGGACGGAAAGCCAAAGGCCCTGCAGCATATATAACTGCCTCATAATTCCTACCCAACAATCTCTTGTTTTCAGAACGAAGAGGGGCACCATAGAGACCGTTATTGACATTACTGAGGTCACTGCAATTGGCAAGAGGAGAAGAAACTAGCTTCACATGGCACCCATGGAGGGGATGGTCCAATATAGAATGCGCCATTTTGAATCCTTCAAGCTGAGCATAGAAGTAGCCTTTAAGGTCTGTGACAAAAGCCTTGTAGAAGCTGACTTGGTCTTTGTGATTTTTGCAGATGACACTGACTTTAGCTGAAGGGATTGGCTCAGCATCAGTCAAGGACCATGTTCCATAGTGGTCACAGCTCTGGCAATAGATCATGCCTTCCACCACCACGTCGATTTTCTTCTGCGCTTCCTCAGGCTTTTTCGGGTCATATTCAGTGGCTGCTATGGAAGGGAAGGCCAGTCGGATGAGGAGGAGGGTTGAAATGAGGATTATAAGCTGCCTGCTTGCCATTTCTTAGGACTTAGGGAAAGGACTTTCAGCAGGAGCTTTATTATTAAGACTTTAGAGCACAATGGTGGGGTGAATGAAGAGAGATTGGATTGGGTAGTATATATAGCAAATTATTGGATGATTGGTATATCTGGTGAAACAAAGTAATGTTATTGGACGTGGGGGCTGCTAAGTCGCATGTCAACGATCTGCAGTATTCCAATACGTGAGGGCCATCTCTCTTGTGATGAAAATAATCCTGCTTTATAATATGTCTTTTATTTATTTATAAGTTGGCTGTAGGCAATCGTAATGATCCGAGGTCTGTTATTTTTGGGTTGTATTTGGTATTACTTATAAATGTATTTCCAAAAGTGCAAATTAATCTGGATTTAACTTTCCCATGGATATCCGAAGCTTACAAGAATACTTGTAAGGCAGCAACATGTTTCCAAAACTCATGTTTGGCCTTCTGAAAGGTGCTTTCTCATTAAGTTCATCATAGTTGAATGAACAAAGAAACTAATTGATAGGTTCATGTATTTTTTATGCCTCTTTTACATTTTACTATTAAACAAAAATACTATGTTTTCCAGCCTATTTCGATTATATACAAGTAGAATTCTATCACCCTGCCATAGATACAAATCTCTACCAACTTAAGGGTGCTGCTTAGTTGGTGCCTTGCCAGCTACAGAAGATGAAAACGTGCCCATGTTCATACTTACAATCAGGACTCTTCAGCTTCTAGCTTCCATCTGGAGACAACAGTTCAAGCTCTGCCCACCAAAGAGGGGAGAGTTTTGGGGTTGCCCCATCAGGTGAAATTCCAGTTATTTCTCTCAATCTTGCACTGACTTCTCTCATTGGCGGTCTTTGTTTCGGGTCGGGGTGGACGCAAGATCTTATTACTTCTCCGATTCGATCCAGCTGCTCCTCTTGGAAAGATTCTAGAGTTGGATCAACCATTTCTTTGAGGGGTTGCTCACCTCTCAAGTAGTCAGAAGCCCAGTCTTCAAGTGAGCCATTGTCCACTGAATAAGGAAGTCTGCCTGTTACCATTTCAAACAATATGACACCAAAGCTGTAAACATTACTTTCTCTGTTTGCTAATGGTGTGTTAAAAAGCTTTATGCCAGGTGATTCTTTCTCAGCTTCAGCTGTCTCGTTCCAGAAACTATATTCTGAGACCTTTGGCGCATAATCCTCCGTTAGCTGGACAGATGAAGAATTCAAGTTGTTGTGAGCTATAGGCGGGTTCAGCTGGTGCATATAATCGAGGCAGTAGGCCACTCCCATTGCTATTCTCATTCGCATTATCCAATCCAAGTGCTCAGCTTCTTTTACTGCAAGTTCATTAACATTAGTTTAGATATCTCATGCATTATTAGCACAAACACACACATTTAAGGGGAGGACAATAAGAAGAGTTTCCTGTTAAGTTCAGAAAGATCTAAGAAAATTTCTACCATAAACATACGCCTATCCATGTAAATAATAAAAAAGTAGCTTTGTACTCACTGTGTAAATGCTCAAAAAGTGTCCCATTGGGAGCATATTCAAACACCATCATTCTAGTGAAAGGTTCTTCTTCCTCACAGTACCCAATAAGGCTGACAAAATTCTTGTGGCTCACTTTTGATAATGTTTTGATCTGAAAACATAAGCATTAGAACAATTAGGGCCTGTTACTGTTAGACCACATGAAACGGGCATATCATTTTCTAACTTTCGCTTGTTTAATACCTTCTTCCTGAACTGCAACTCTAAATTGCTGCACCAACACTTAGCAGATGTCCCTACAAGAGAAGCCACCGCAATTTCAACGCCACTAGACAAGGTCCCTTTGTACACTGTACCAATTGGTGAAGAACCTATTACATTACTGAAATCTTCACAAGCCGCTTCAAGCTCTGATCTCTTAAGATTTGGTACCCCTGCAATGGAAGTTTGATTTCATGTTTAATTAAAAGAGACACATAACTGGCAACATGAACATGAACAATGTATCTAACAGATGGGGTTGGGAAAAGGATTGGCAAATCTGTCTGCTTTGCAACACGACACACCTGCTGGCACCAAATTGCCAAACCCTTAGGTTCGCACCATTTAAAACTTCTGGAGCTACTATCATCATGAAGAGATGATTTACCTACCATTTTCACCAGTATTCACAGAATATTAAACAACTCAAAGTTGTCATACTTAATGCTTGTTTGCTCCCGTTATGCACGTAACTTGATATAGCAGCCGAGATGTTATTATGCATACACAATTATTTATCATTATAGAATTTAGATTTACATAAATTAACATTTTCTGTTACTTAATAAGCCTTACCAGTGACGAAGGCTTTTTGGAGCTGTCCGCTTAATCCTGTGGCCCAAGGTTTGACAGTAGCTACCTTGTTGCTTTTATAGAGATACATAACAATGATTGAAATTGCAAGAGAAACAGCCACGCCTGTGCCTCCAGTCAATAGCGCGACTTTATGCTTTGATGCGAAACTTTTGGAACTTGCTACTGGAGCAGAAAGTGAAGGTGAGGAAGCTGGTGGGGTAGGTGGGGAAGTTGGATTCGAGTTGGATGATGGTGCAGGTGCAACGTCACTATTTGGGGAAGATGCCAGACCATCTGGGCCTGAGTCTGAAGCAGAAGGTTCTGGCTCTTCTGGCGTTGGTGTTTTGTTGGGCTTAAATTGATCAAAGCTAAGCAAATGTTTAGCCTCTGGAGGAGGGACAGTTGCTGCTCGGAGCACTCTCCCATGAATAGAGTGTTCAATATGAGCGAGGTTCCTATAGCAAAGATAAAAGGCAGCATCAGATAAAACAGACGATGCACTATTTCTAAATACATAAATATTTCAAGAGAAGTCACTAAGAGCATATAATTGAGACTAGAGTATTCTATGATGAACAGTAATGAACTCCTTTTTTCCTACATCATTAGTCCTGCAAAGCCTGATTGAAATTACATACCATGAAATGGATCTTTCATTGCAAGATGATTCTCTGCCTGCACCAGAAAGCCGATTCTCATCAACTTGAAATTCGGAAAGAATCTCCAGGTTGTGAATTTCAGGAGATAAGATACCAAGAAGCCTGTTGTTATCCAGTAGGCTGCAACGTGAGCAAAAATTGATTATTATACATGTATGGGACAAAATGATATAGAATAGATAGAACTGAATGTTCGACAGGTAAACCTACAGGATTGCCAACGAAAAATTGCTGCCAAGGTCAGCCGGAAGTGGTCCACTGAAGTTGTTGTATCCTAAATCTAACACCTCCAATTCCTTCAACTCTCCGATCCCTCCAGGAATGATCCCCGTAAAGGAATTGTTGCGCAAAATACTGTACGAAAACTTTAGTTTAGCAGGATGCACCGGAGAAAGATCTCAAAGGAATATACTGTAAATCATTACACATCGAGGCAATGATAACAAAAATGCTTACATAGACTTTATATGGACAAGGTTCCTGAGCTCAGGTGTTAACGTTCCACCAAGACAAAGATCTTTTAAGTTCCTGTGCATCATATACATCTAACTTCAGAATCAAAACGGTTAAAGTAGCAAAACAATGAATGATAAGTTTAAAACAATGGCAGTACTACCATATTAAACAACTTGACATTAGTCATCAAGTTCAAGTTTTTGATTTGATTTGTGATAGAATTCATGATGTCCACTTTTTCCTTTCAGAGCTTCTATTATGTCCTAGAATTAAAAACACAATGAAAATCCCATGTACTCATGGCCAGTTCATGGGCCAAAAGAGAAGAAAAACGCTTTTTGAGTTATCTCAAAACTTCCTATCTTAAGAATTATATCTTCATAGTCTCAAACTTATCATTCAATATATGAATGGAAAAAGAAGGAAAGAAAATTACTCACAACACCACAACTTTTCCATCTGCACACTCGACCCCGAACCATGAGCAAGGGTCAACCTCTCCATCATCATCGTTCCAATTCGACAAAGCACCAAACGGGTCACTGACTACTCTATCTCTAAACCTCAATAGCGCCAAACCTGCACAAGAAACAACCAACTCTTTTTAAACATTTTCCTTCACTTTCTCGACGACCAAACAGTAAACACTTCAACACCAAAAGCCCAGCAGCTCAAACTAATCCCATACCTTCATCATTCAAAGACCAACAAAAACTCAAATTCTGAATCAACAAGCAGACCACCACCATACCCAGCATCCCCAAACGGTCCTTCAACCCACTGAACTTCCACTTCTTGTTCATTTTTGTCACGATCGACGCAAACCCAATCAAAATTTTCACGAGCCTGAAAGCAAACAGAGGTAAGCCAGAGCAAACCAAGCTCAGAACTTTGAACTTATCTTTAATAAACAGAGTTGAAAAGGCAAATGAGTAAAGATCAAAAAACGTGTTCTAGTACTTGCAACTAATTTAGACCCCCCAGAAGTGTTTGAAAACGCGTACCCTGCAATACATGTGTTTGATTAATGAAAAAGACCTAATTTTTTATCTGTTTTTGGAGTGAGAATTAAACCAAACCAACCCAGAGGTTATAGCAATTGCCAAAAGGGAACGAATCCAAGTGAGAATGGGTCCAAGAACTACAGCTCACGCCAGGTTTTGGCAAGTGAGAGCTACTAAAATGGAGGAAAGGTTGAGACTTGAGACGAGCGCGTTTGGATTCTAGTCAAGAACCGGCGAAGGACTTGTGCCGTACGTCATCGACAAATAGACAACGAGCACGTCAGCTCAAAATTTAAAAAAATAATTTAAATTTTTAAAGGGAAATAAATGGACGACGGAGACAGTGTTCGTGTCTTCATCTTTATTGACTGAGTAAAACAGTCTTTTCTGGATAAGTCTTTGAGTCGACATGGTACCTTCCACGAAATTTACAGCATTCAACCAAACAATTATTTTGTATTTGTATGCTTAACAAGGATCTTCATAATTTTTGTGGCCTTCCACATTTGCCCAGATAAAGATTTTTCCCAAATATGATCTGCAGAATTCTCATCTACTTTTTGCTCGAAATATGTTTTCCCAAATTCTCAGTTATGTCTTAGGATGTGAAAGGGAAGGAAAACCAACCATGGAAATAACGAAGATGATTGGTTTTAAAATTAAAAATAATATCATGTACATTTATGTGGTTCGTGCTTGTGCAGTAAAGCTTCTCTCTTGCTTTGTTGATTGGTAGCGAGCAAACCATTGACTTTTAGATTTCAACGGAGGCTAAAAAAATTATGTAATTCATATTTCATCTATACACACGTACATGCTTAAATGAGTAGATCGCCTCACATAAATTGTTCGACCACTCGTACAACAAAGAATTAAATTGTTTGCATTTGGCCCAAGTGCAACCCTTAAGATTAGTCATACAGTTCACATAGTCAGGCCGCCTATCCCCAAAATTTTAATATATATTGAAATTTTTAAGTGAAGAATTAGCAAGTTAGTCTAATCAGATCACCATCCATGATCCATCCGCAATTTATTTTGTCTAGTATAATATACATAATTATAGTCATCAGCTGGAAAGATTGAACATGATGATGTATTTGATATTGTCCCACTTCCAGCTCTTGGAATTGATAGGTATATCATAATTCACAAGCAAAACGTCCACATGATGTGGCGGCTGATGTGTACATACCACATCATGTAAAATACTAGTTTCTGTTTTTCTAATTTTATTTATTAAAATACACTTCATTCATTTAATTGATATAATATATGATATGGACATGCCACATCATGTGGTATATAAATGTGAGATAATAATGTGATAAGTGTAGTATTACTCAAACCGGAACATGCAATGAAAGCAGTTTGCAGCCCATGTGTTTGAAAAAAGTCCAGACTGAAACCCATGTGCCGGGAAGTCTTTAATCAAAATCCACAACAAAGCCTCGACTAAGTCCAAGAATCTATGTGAACCGATGGGCTTGCCCAAGCAGGCCACTTTTTATAAAATTATTATTATTAATATTTTTCTTTTTCTGGTTGATTAGTCTTCAAGTGTATAACGTATTTACATTAAAATATACCAAAATTGAATAAAAGAAAGAATTTAAAAAAATAAATAACTAAATTACCGACCGGCATGGTAGTTGATAGGATTTTTAAAAACAGACAATTTTGATGTAATATTAGGTAGCTTTTCTATAACAGTGAACATATACCCTATTTATATATTCTCTTAATTCATTGAATTTAGAATTTCAACAGTATCTCTTGACCCAAATAAAAAATAAAAAATTCAACATTAACCCTGCCCACACCCACACCATCTTTTAAGTTCTAGACATCACACTATTTTCTTCAGTACGCAATGCATGCTCATAGAAAAATATTAGAATGCTAAAAAGACAAAATGTTGCTGGCAAAGGAAAAAACAAAGAAAAAGACAAGATGTTGAATTGAAAGAAATGCACCAATATAAAGTCACAAAATAAAATATTTTCTGACAAATTATAATGTTATGACACGACTAATACCCCGATAGTTGTAACATTTTCAATGACATATGAAGTTATAAAGTCCAAAACAAATTAAACAAAAAATAATATTTATAATAACAAGCGACTTTCATTCAACAAACAAAGGCATCGAACAAGACAATTTGGTTTCCTTAAATACCAAAATGCTAATTTAATAACAAGATAAAATAAAATTCTTGTTTCATTAATGAATCACATTCATATCCCTTGAACTAAGCAATTAACATTCTTTGGCCAAAAAAAAAACTATGCAATTAAAATTTTAAAAAATAAAAACCTATGCAATTAACATAACAAAGAAAAAATAAAAAAATTAATAACTGTGTTTTTCTTTTTTTTTCTTTTTTTTTACAGTTTAATCTATTGGAGGATTGAGAGCTATACTTCCTTGTGTCGCCGTCGCAGCGGGGAACATGAAGGGCACATAATCAAACCGTTGACGTTGCAGACCGTACAAGGCCTGAACCCACTCTTGTCACTATAGACCTTATGGCTCCCATTACATTTTTGACAGAGAACAAATCTGAGCCCTCCACAAAAATCACAAGCTCTGGGGTCCACCACTGGGAGCCCTTGGATCAGTCTCTTCAGTTCACCACTCTCATGGAGCTGCTTCACCTCCTCGGCCCCACCAATGAACAGCCCGCCAATGAAAACCATTGGCAGAGTCAAAGTCTTATTCCCCGTAATCTCCTGCAGCTCGTCTAAAAATTTCACGTCCATCGACAGATCTCGCTCGTCGATCGGGGCGCGGAACCCGCGGAGGATTGATCGGACGGTCTTGCAGTCCTCGAAGGTCCTGCGCACGACGCGAAGGCTGGTGTAGTAGATTACGACGCGCTGGTCACCGTCGGGTAGTTTGGGGCTGTGTGGGGTCGCGTTTCGGTGGGCCCACAAGCGAAGGACTGACGTGGATATCTTGACCCGGTGCAAAATGGAGGCGCTCCTCGGACTGAGGGCTTCGGATTCGGGTTGGGGTTCGCAAAGGTTTTGGATGTCTTTGAAGGATGAGCAGGAAAAACTTCTCTGAGATCGTGGAGCTCTGGCTGTGTGCACCCTGCTTGGTGATTTTAGCCATGGTGCCCACATGGTACGAGAGAGAGAGAGAGAGAGAGAGAAGAAAAGGTGGATTTTTTTGGGAGGAGCGGGAGAGAAGGGTGCTTTACTGTATAGTGTGTCTTGGTGGGTATCTTCTTAGGGCTATTTAAGCAAAGCACAATAGGAATTAGGAAGCCCTAATAAAGTATGTGATGTTAAGTAGGTTCTGGATAACAACACGAGACATCTTTAGAATTTAAAAAATAAAAATAAGAATTTCAAAATAGTTTTCGGTTCAGTTAAAAATATGATGTTACAACTCATCACAGTACATCGAATATATCAAAAAATTGCCCGTAAATAGTAGTTAGTCAAAAAGGGGTAACATTGCCGCTTTCAAATTTATTGATTAAATTTTGCTTTAAAAATAGTTAATTTGGTGTGCTACTAGGAGATGCGTAATAATCATAGAACAAGAAACCTTGTATAGTTTTTTTTTCTTTTTACCAACAAGAAAAAGAAAGTTCGAACTTCAAACATTTTACAATATTCAAAGAGGAAATATCGCAGGAGTTGTAAAATCTATTGGTGTACATGAACTTGGTGAATTTATTAGGCATTCACAAGGGGATGGGAACCCCTCCATTCGTTTTTGTTTTTTTTTTTGGTCGAAACCCTCCATTCGTTTGAGAGGACAAATTTCATGTGTGCGTTTTGTTTTCCTTCCTTGGTTAATGGTTTGTTTAGAAGTAGTGTATGTCATAATACTAATTGTGTGGTGGGCTGAGAATTGCCAGGTATATTTGCGCTTGGTTGCAAAATATGAAAATAAGGATTCACTTACTTACCTAAGTTGCTCATAAAACATTCTATATATCTGCTAATTTCAATTTACCATAGAGTTGTATTTTCCAGTTTTGGGTGCTCAGGCCACAAGTGTGTGGTCCAAAAGGTATGTGTGCATGCACCCAATTAACTGTTTTTGAGCTTTAAATATATGTGTAATTTTGAGTTGTTAATTATAAATCCTATCTACACCAAAATTAAGTAACAAGGTGTAATCCAAATGCCTCTAACCATTGGAAATCGGAACCTGTTTTTGTAGATGCTTATTGGGCCTCATTGCCATTTACAACCCAAATGCCTATCAAGTATCTTTGGGCACAAAAATGGATCCTAATACTTATTGTATGGGACTCGCATAGCCCAACCCAATTGTCGTTTATGTTTTCTTTTTCTTTTTCTTTTGGTCAAATGTTATGGCTCTCCTATCCATAGTCTAAAATATCGATAATATCGATGAAATATTGAGGATATTATCATTTTTTCGAGTCACAGATATTTCGGAACGTATCTATACACATATTGTATAAATATCGACAATATCGATGATAATATCGATAATTTCGCTCACACTTCAGCAATATTTTGTCAAAATATCGCTATAATATCAAAAATATCGATGTAATGAAAAAAATGAAGAAAAAAAAACAAAGCACATACGCAAAGGGGATTCAAACCCCTGCCATTTCACTCATCTAATGCCTTAACCATCATGTTGCATATGTTTTTGTGATAATATGTTAAAATATGTATATTTTTATTGTTTTGTTTTGAACTGTTTTTGCAAAAATTAGATTTACATGTGAGAATGTGAGTCTTTGATATTTCCCTTTTGGGATGGAATCGAGTGGCTCATAAAAAGAATCTGAGACCCAATCTTCAAATGATTTTGCTTATGGACAATGTCAACCAATCTCGGATCTATATGGGTGGCATGTTAACAATTACATGCAAAACTATTTTGGGGATTTATCATTTGATATTACTCTTCACAATACTCTTACTCTACACATAGAGATGATGAGGATAATGAAAATTTTGAATCTCATAGGAACTCTATGTGGTACTAAATCACTTGTGTATCTTACTCAGCAATGTATAAAGTGTCAAATATTCTAGTAAACGTTATATATAAATGATTATGATGTCTTTAATATTCTTTCATTAATTACTACATATTTTATACACTTTGTGTTTGTCAGCTCCATGTATAATCAACTTAAATCAGTTGAACCTATCATGCAATGCATTTCCTTCCAATTTTTTGTGATAAACTAATAGATAATTGACTAAATAAACATCCTCCAAAGTTTCAATAAAATTTTTCCAGTTTTTCTTACAATTTTCGTGGTTTTTATTCAATTTTTATCGATATCGATAATATCCCAATATTTCCATCGAAATTTCTGTATTTTTGGACTACCGATATTTCCGATACCATCGATATTTTAGACCTTGCTCTTGTCTAATGATGTTTAGACTTAGATGATGGTGTGGTGTGCGCAACTTTTACAGGACTAGGTTCCTGAAAATTAGATGAATGGAAGACCCAAATAAAAATCTCATCAGAGTTTTGGTGGCATTTCACCCGATCATCGGAGCATGCGGTTCTTACTGCAGGCTTAGTACACATTCTCTGCTTTCTTTTGGTTCTCTGTTGACTATCAAGCAACTAGCTGCCCGCATTTAAATTGCAATTGATTTTGTATTTTTGTTCATGGAATTCATGTGGTCAAATTGTTAAAAAAAATGCTATAATTTCTTTTATCATGTTGGGATTCTACTGTTGTTTAGTCTCTCATGTGACTCTGGCAAGTTTAATGCTCTTGATTGTCCTCGTAGGAGATCTATAAATATTATAAATCATAATTTCATAATTAGATTATTATGAATGGTATATTTATTAATTAAGAATTGGAATTCTCATCAAGAATTGAATTCCACCTATGGAGGATTTTTGCGTTTCTTCACATCAAGGAATTGAAAAGCAAGTGGGTCTCACTCAAAATTAGGAATTGAATTCCTGATTTTGGAGAAGTCAATGATTAATAAAGACACAAGTTGTTTTTGACTTCAGGTCTGATTGCCTCGCTCGCCCCTCTCACGAAATGTGAGTTTTACTGGTAATGATGCTAAATTAAAAAGATGCCACCATCACAAATTAATGATGGTCGTTTAATTGAACATCATTAATTTGTGATTGTTCAATTAAAAAGATTCCACCATTATTCAACAATCCGCAGTTTAGGTGTTTCTTGCCAATTTGCTTGGGTATATCCAGTTAAGAGATCCCATGCATGGCTAACCATTATTCTTATTTATTTTTGTCATGATGTCATCATATATATGATACCATGACCATCTTGTTGAAAATAAACTTTTATTTTCCTTTTCAGATATGAGGATTGAATTTGAAAATCGTTTGCAAAAAGAGTCTATCGAAATTCCAATGCAACTATTGTCAAGAAGAACAACGCTCCCATTGCAATACAGTGTAAGAGGGAGTGGTAAAGTGTTGATATAAACATTTTTGTTACTCTAGATATAAGAATCTCCCCATAAGCAACCTTTTGTTCAACTTTTATGGCATCGTGTCGTGGGTGGCAAGAACTGCATAGATATTATTACGCTCCCATTTTAGTTTCTTATTATGTTCATTTAAATGGTGAAACAAAAATCATCTGTACATTCCAAAAAAGCAAATGTATTAAATAAATTTAATCTTACCAGAATTTCCAGGGGTTGTCATTGGCCCTTGTTGCGATTTTTTCTTCGTACTCGATAAAAATCAGCAAGATCAAAGGACATGAATAATAATAGCTCTAACTTGACTAATGTGGAACTCAACGTCACTAGCAGTTAATAATGGAAAAACATTGATTCCCAAATATATTTTTTACCACATAATTAGAGGTGTTAAACGGGCCAGGCCGGATTGGCCTGACTCATTTAAATTTGTGCCTTTAATGTATTTGTATCAAGCCGGCTTGGTCTATTTAATTTATCGAGTTGTGCCGTACTGGCCCATTTAGTAAAACCATTTATCCCAGCCTGGCCCAAAGCCCAATTCCACATCAAAACGGGCTGGGCCGAAGCGGGCTCTAGCCATACCCTTGCTCGTGCTCAGGCCCAAGAACCAACCCATTTAACTTGATCTTTTTTCCACTTAAAAGTTATCGTAATTAATTTATAAGTCTAATTAACACAACTTTACATAGAATCAAACTAGGGATACTAATCTTTATAAAACAAAAATGTGGAGTCGTTTTATCTCCAATTAATAGTAAAAAATGACCTCCAAAGTTACTCATAAAATCTGCCGGCACATGCTTTCTCTTGAACATAGATTACTTAAAAATAGACAATAAAAAAAATTATTATCCAATCATCACAAAAAAATTCAGTACATAAGAAGACATGTATATGTTCAACGTTTCAAAAATTCAAGTCATTTCATGATTTGTAGATGAGCCGTTCATCAATATTGAATCATAACACAAAATCTGTCAGGAAAATTTCTTTTCAACTGTCTCAACATTATAAATTTCCATAAATTCAATTATAAACATGTTTACATGAAATAAGTGCCTAAAGAAACATGAGAAATTCTACTTTATCACCTAATTTTATCATGAATTAATTCGAATTACAACATTATTCAAATAGACATTGGTAGAATAGTTCCAAAAAAAAACAAAACAAAATAGTTAAGTGGGCCGGGCTCAAGCCGTGCTTGAAGCGGGCTCGGGCCAAGCCCGATCCATTGGACCTCATTTTTTGATCTCGGCCTAGCCTAAGCTTTCGTGCTGTGCCGAGCTCTCTAATATTCGTGCTTGTGTCGTGCCTTATTTAAACGGACTGGGCTCATGCCGTGCTAGGTTGCCCCCTCTCATTTGACACCTCTACACATAATAAGGCATGCCACGTAAATAAATATGATGAAATGTATTTTAATAATATTATCATTATTTAATAATGGAATATGTAATTATTATTAATTTGGTATGATTCACCAAAACTTATTAAGCAAGGATGAAATAAATGATTCTTCAATTCAATGCAATCAAATTTTGTTGATTTCATTATTTTTTTAGAGCTATGAGTATTATCAAGGCCTATAATTGGTTAAAGAGACAAATCCAATGGGCAAACATATTAGGGTTTTGACGCTATACAAGTTAAAACTACATGCACACAGATTGTGAGTTTAAGAAAATTGAAGCCAAGCAGATCAACATGGGTGGTGGTGGTGCTAGTGTTAGAGATAGCAAGCCTGTCTCACAAAGAGGTTGAAGGTTGAGGTTGCATTGAATTGAAGAATCATCGATTCCGTCCTTGCTTGGTAAGTTTTGGTGAATCATACTCCTATTCTTGTTGGGAAATCATACATTCTTTTGGTAAATAGGTTTGTTTTCTATTGTTCCAGGGAAAGTCGTATGAAAATCATAACTTTGAGGGTGTGTGAAGTGGAAAACCCTAACTGGCCAGAGAGTAGCCTCACGACATTCACGCTTCCGCCCTCCTCTCTCTTCTCTCAGTTTCTTCACTTCTTCTCCCGATAAGCTTCCGGCTCACACCAGGTAAACCTCTTATCTTCGTTTAATTGTTGATCTCTTCTTCCTATAATTTTCGATTTGTTTTGTATATCTGAATTTCTGATTCATGTTCTAGACAGAGTGAAGGTTCGGCTTGGGGTTTGGTTTTAGAGGTTTCCTCTCTCTTTTTCTGTCCCGCTGACCCAGTATGGATGGGAAAGGATCCGCTTCAGCAAGTGGTAGTGCGCTACCGACTGTTGATTTGAATGTTCTACTTGGGAGGCGTACGCTGAATAAGTTCTTAGAGACAGAGAATTCCTTTGATAATAATAAAATCACTCCCATTTATCAGAGAATTTTTAGGTCAGTTTATTTTATTTTATTTTATTTTATTTATCAGAAAGGCATGCGTATATATTATTAACTGTGTGTGTGGGTGTTTTTTATACTCCAGATCTCTCATTGGGGCTATTTCTGAACTCGAGTCAAGAGGGATCACTCGTGGTTACCTCCAGCCCCATCAAATCATGGTTGGTGGCCCTTGTGTTGAGTTTATGAAGGCTTGGCCGTTACCTAGACCAGAGGAGGACAATCCGACCGCGCCTACCTACAGAAAGGAGTTTGATTCCCTAGTACGGAAGATCCTTGGTGAACGAGACTTCTCGAACTTGGAGTTGAATCATTTTCTCCACATCACAGCTTCTGCTGCTTCTGGACAAGAGAGTTTGTAAGCAAGCTATTTAATAACTTTTTTCTTATATTTTATTTAAATTTGTTCATATAGGAGCGTGCACTAAGTAGGCCAAAGCACACACAAAGACAGATGAAATAAATAAACCTGAAAATTGAATCAAATCTGATGCAAAGATTCTAATGAGCAAAATTGAAAAAGAGAACACAACAATCAAGTGAACTACTTGAGCCAATTAATGTAAGTTGGGAAGGGTGAAATTGGGCATGTATCGCTCTTTTTAAAAGTGTGTTATTTTCATTAACTGCAGATTCAATTTTAGGCAACTCCAATGGCATCCAATACTGTTGTCATCTGCTGAATTGCCCCAGTTAGTATACCATCTGTTTCTTCATCTCGACATGATGGGAACATCAAGCTGGAAAGAGGACTTCAGACAGATGATACAGAGGGATGTTGAGGTTAGGGGCACAGTGCTTGGGGTGGATTACTTCTCAGATGTTTACAACTTGGAAGGACCCCAGTACTATGAAGAGAATGCACTGGGGGCATTCCTGTATTCTGCAAATGCCATTTCGGATGTGAACGGTTATATCCGGAAGGCCTTCAAGCAATATATGGTATACGAATATTACTTTGTACAATGCAATTAGTTTGTTTAAATTATTTGTATAATATTAATTGTTATTGTTCAATCATTGCAGAAAGATGAGGAAAAAGGGATGGAACTTATGGTATTAACATAAACCTATAATTTGATTTGTTTGTTTGTTTTTTTATAAAAATAATAAAATTATATATTAATGTCTACTAATATTTTTATTTTTTTTATTTTTGCAGACAGTGGAGCAAATATTTGATGTGCTTATTTCCTTCTTCCCGCACATGCTTGTTGATGTGTATGATTTCCTTGTAAAGAAGGGCCTTCCAATTGACGACGTACTTTGATTTGATTGATGCAGGGGCAAAGTTTAATGTCTAGGAAATGAGTCTTTGTAGTTTCTTCTGAAGATTTATGCTACTTTTAAGTCTCCATATGTGTATTAATATGGATCCTTCCAGATTCAAGTACCAATTACCGAGGGGCTATACTTTGTAAACTTAAAAATCAGAGGTTCTTCTGTAAACTTTGTTTTTTGGAATTTAGACTTCTAGTAATTTCTGTAAGGGATAATTTTACTAGTCACCACATATTGTGTGTGGATCGTATCTCAGTAGTAGCTTGATAAGATTTCTTTTTTGTTTTTGTTTTTTTTGGTGAGATATACTTTCTTCATTTGAATCGGTAATAGGTATATATGTATAGGGTGCTGATTTTATCACTTCTCTTTCGTCTATTTACACTCACTTTCAAGCCATACATACAATAATGTCTGTTTATTTCAACTTATGCGTAAACATAATGACTTGGATATAAAAAAACCTAAACATAATGGCTGCCTGTTTTGAGTTTAAATACTTGCTATCCCACATATAACCTGTCATTTTGAACAATATAAAATTATTTTCTGGAAGTTGATGAGTAGGACAGCTTTTGCAAAGGAAATATGGTTTTAATAATGGAATATGTCTTTATTATTTGGTATGATTCACCAAAACTTACCTCTCATGCTCATGATCCCAAACCAATTGGCAAAGTCTAAACAAACACTGTTCTATAGCGTTTGTGAAGGAAAAATCTACAAGAATATTCAGACAATTGAATTCCCAGAACCAATGCCTAAAACCGACATTAGAGATAATAGGTACTGTTGTTGCCCTGGATATATATATAATATATGGTTGGTTGGCCATTGTAGATTGTTATCATGTAGGCGACGACCACCAAGTCATTATAACTCTCTTGAACCCTTTCAGCAGCAGCAAGGGGTTGTCCTGCATCCGTCTTCCTCCCTTGGAGGGATCAGATGGCATCCGATCCCCCTCAAAGGTTGTGAATGAAAACTAAGGGGGACCTTTTACATGTTCGAAGATTTTGCGAATTGAAGAAAGACGACCAAGGCTCCTCCTCCTACGGGGAGTACATCACCACACACTTCATGGTTTTCAAGGTACTTCTCATCTCAACGATGAAAATGAAGATCAATTTGTATCGGAGGAACATGTGGAGTAGTTGAGCTGAAAAGCCTTGGGGATGAGGCTCTCTTCGTCGAGGACAATTATTACCCTCCAAGTTGTTGGGAAAAAGGCATGCCACCCTCATTTTGGAAAATTTCTTTTCAACTGTCTCAACTTTATAAATTTCCATAAATTCAATTATAAACATGTTTTCATGAAATTAGTACCTAAAGACACATGAGAAAGTCTACTTTATCACCTAATTTTATCATGAATTAATTCGAATTACAACATTATTCAAACAGATATCATAGTTGAATAGTTCCCAAAAAAAAAATTAAAAAAAAATAGTTAAGTGGTTTTCAGGCTCAGGCCGTGCTTGAAGCGGGCTCGAGCCAAGCCCGATCCATTGGACCTCATTTTTTAATCTCGGTCCGGCCCAAGCTTTCATGTCGTGCCGCGCACGGCACTCTAATATTCATGCTCATGCCATGCCTCATTTAAACGGACTGAGCTCGTGCCGTGCTGGGCCATCCCGTCCTCTTTGACACCTCTACACATAATAAGGCATGCCATGTAAATAATTATGATGAAATGTATTTTAATAATATTATCATTATTTAATAATGGAATATGTAATTATTATTAATTTGGTATGATTCACCAAAGCTTATTAAGCAAGGATGAAATCGATGATTCTTCAATTCAATGCAATCAAATTTTGTTGATTTCATTCCTTTTTGAGAGCTATGAGTATTATCAAGACCTATAATTGGTTAAAGAGATAAATCCAATGGGCAAACATATTAGGGTTTTGACGCTATAAAAGTTAAAACTATATGCACACAGATTGTGAGTTTAAGAAAATTGAAGCCAAGCAGATCAACATGGGTGGTGGTGGTGCTAGTGTTAGAGATAGCAAGCCTGTCTCACAAAGAGGTTGAAGGTTGAGGTACATACTCAAATTTTGGTGTAGTTAATTCTTTTCACAGTGGAAAAATAATGGAGAATGGGAATGGGTCGATTTGATGAAGGAAGTGAGTGAAGGAGAAGAAACGTAGGGACACAGGGTTTTAAAATTTCTTTTTATTGAGAAAACTCCAAATCTCAGCAACAATGGAGGAAAAGGGAGCAGTGGAGACAAGTCCATAGACGTTTTTTTTAAAATTTTTTAAATTTCACTTTTAAAAAAAATAATTATTAAAAAGAGGAAATAAATAAAAATAAAATATACATGATAATATTCATGAATTGACAAGACATTTGATGTGCCACATAAGGTTGTTAGAAAATGTGGTCAACCTTGTGTGTCTAAGGGCATGTTTGAGAGCCCTTCTAGAAGGGCCAAAAACGCTTTTTGATAACTAAAAGCACTTATGACAGTGTTTGTTAGAAAAGTTTAGAAGTACTTCTGGGTCATAAAAACGCTTTATGGATAAGCACCTGTTATATGCTTTCTTAGGAAGCACTCTCAAGTGCTTTTCCACGAAGCACTTTAATTTTTTTTTATGAAAATTCCATATTTTTATAATAAAAGCGCTTTTATTAGAAGTGCTTATAAGTATAAGTACTTTCTAAAGAAGTAGTCCCAAACAATCCCTAAATAGCATTACTCAAACTAATTTATAGCTTCAAAACCCTAATCTATTTTGGAAGGATAAATAATGAAGGAAAATATTTTCCTAATCAAGTAAATAATTATCTTGATATTTTATGACAAACGGGGTAATTATAGTGTAGAAAGATTTATATGAAAAAAGAAAGGAAAAAGAAAGTTTAGATTGGTTTCCGGTTTTAATTATAAGAAGTTCAAATTGGAATGTGAAACCGACTCCCTAAACAAAATTTGATTGCATTGAATTGAAGAATCATCGATTTCGTCCTTGCTTGGTAAGTTTTGCTGAAGAAATCGTAACTTTGAGGTGTGTGAAGTGAAAAACCCTAACTAGCCACAGAGTAGCCTCACTGCACTCACTCTGCCGCCCTCCTCTCTCTTCTCTCAGTTTCTTCACTTCTTCTCCCGATAAGCTTCCGGCTCACACCAGGTAAACCTCTTGTCTTCGTTTAATTGTTGATCTCTTCTTCCTATAATTTTCGATTTGTTTTGTATATCTGAATTTCTGGTTCATGTTCTAGACAGAGTGAAGGTTCGGCTTGGGGTTTGGTTTTAGAGGTTTCCTCTCTCTTTTTCTGTCCCCCTGACCCAGTATGGATGGGAAAGGATCTACTTCAGGAAGTGGTAGTGCGCTACCGATTATTGATTTGAGTGCTCTACTTGGGAGGCGTACGCTGAATAAGCTCTTAGAGACAGAGAATCCCGATAATAATAAAATCACTCCCTCAAAGTTACGATTTCTTCCGCCTCAAAGGACTATTTTATACAGACATACGAATTTCCCTGGAACAAAAGGAAAACAAACCTATTTACCAAGCAAGGACGGAATCGAGAATTTTTAGGTCAGTTTATTTTTTGAATTTCCTTGCTTGGTAAATAGGTTTGTTTTCCTATTGCTCCAGAGAAAGTCGTATGTCTGTATAAAATAGTCCTTTGGTTGGAAGAAAGGGTGTGTGAAGTGAAAAACCCTAACTAGTAGTAGCCTCACTATCCTCCCTCTTCTCTCAGTTAGCAAATAGTTTTTTCTTTTTCTTACCAGAATGGATGGGAAAGAATCTGATTCAGGAATACCAATTCGTGGTTTGGATGATCTATTTAAAGAGAGGCGTATGCTGAATAAGTTCTTAGAGACAAATGATCCCTTTGATAATGATAAAATCACTTGCGTTTACCAGAAAATTTATAGGTCAGTTTATTTTATTTTATTTATCAGAAAGGCATGCGTATATATATTTTTTTTGGTGAAAAAAGGCATGCGTATATATTATTAACTGTGTGTGTGGGTGTTTTTTTATACTCCAGATTTCTCATTGGGCAAAGTTTAATGTCTAGGAAATGAGTCTTTATAGTTTCTTCTGAAGATTTATGCTACTTTTAAGTCTCCATTTGTGTATTAATATGGATCTTTCCAGATTCATGTACCAATTACCGAGGGGCTACTTTGTAAACTTAAAATCAGAGGTTCGTCTGTAAACTTTGTTTTTAAGAATTTAGACTTCTAGTAATTTCTGTAAGAGATAATTTTACTAGTCACCACATATTGTGTGTGGATTGTATCTCAGTAGTAGCTTGATAAGATTTCTTTTTTGTTTTTGTTTTTTTTGGTGAGATATACATTCTTCATTTGAATCGGTAATAGGTATATATGTATAGGGTGCTGATTTTATCACTTCTTTTTCGTCCATTTACACTCACTTTCAAGCCATACATACAATAATGTCTGTTTATTTCAACTTATGCCTAAACATATGACTTGGATATAAAAAAACCTAAACATAATGGCTGCCTGTTTTGAGTTTTAATACTTGCTATCCCATATATTACTTGTCATTTTGAACAATATAAAATTATTTTCAGGAAGTTGATGAGTAGGACAGCTTTTACAAAGGAAATATGGTTTTAATAATATTATCATTATTTAATAATGGAATATGCATTTATTATTTGGTATGATTCACCAAAACTTACCTCTCATGCTCATGATCCCAAACCAATTGGCAAAGTCTAAACAAACACTGTTCTATAGCGTTTGTGAAGGAAAAATCTACAAGAATATTCAGACTATTGAATTCCCAGAACCAATGCCTAAAACCGACATTAGAGATAATAGGTACTGTTGTTGCCCTGGATATATATAATATATGGTTGGTTGGCCATTGTAGATTGTTATCATGTAGGCGACGACCACCAAGTCATTATAACTCTCTTGAACCCTTTCAGCAGCAGCAAGGGGTTGTCCTGCATCCGTCTTCCTCCCTTGGAGGGATCAGATGGCATCCGATCCCCCTCAAAGGTTGTGAATGAAACTAAGGGGGACCTTTTACATGTTCGAAGATTTTGCGAATTGAAGAAAGACGACCAAGGCTCCTCCTCCTACGGGGAGTACATCACCACACACTTCATGGTTTTCAAGGTACTACTCATCTCAACGATGAAAATGAAGATCAATTTGTATCGGAGGAACATGTGGAGTAGTTGAGCTGAAAAGCCTTGGGGATGAGGCTCTCTTCGTCGAGGACAATTATTGCCCTCCAAGTTGTTGGGAAAAAGGCATGCCACCCTCTTTCGGCCTCAGTGAGTTGATCATATTTTGGGTTCTTTACATATGATTCTCTGAATTGTGTATTTAGTAATTTTATAAGTATTATCTCATAGGCAAACTTAACACTTTATCTTTGATTAGTTTGTACTTCTTTTATCCACTTTCAGAAAATGACTTATATGGCAAACTTAAGATTTATTATGGCCCCAAATTTTAAGAGCACCAGAAAGTTCTTATGAACTAGGAGCATATTCAATTCATGACCAAGGTTCTGCTCCTACATTGATCTGGAAATGGTAAACAACATGATATGAGATAAATATAATGTTGCCGGTGCATCTTTGCGCTGCAACACACAGAGCATAAGCAAATTAAACTTCTTACATGAACATTGAAGTAGATGAACCTTCTTGTCTAATTCCATCTAACAGTTTTTTCATACATCTTTCAAATTAAGATTAATGTGTCAGTCCATTAATCACAACTGACAAGTTAAACCTATCCGACTCCATTCAACTACTTGTATCACTATCTCCGCATTTAAGCACCGGGTCTTCAATCTCTGTTTTGTTAAATAACATAAGCTGTAACAGACGAAAGTTTCCTACATTAGGTCACCCAAGTGTCTTAAACATGTCAAGATACTGTGTAGGGTAAGGGAATACAAGTTTAGGCGGTCTCACCAATTATCCCATTTTTGGTCCTCTAGATATAAGAATTTCTCCATAAGCGACCTTTTGATCAACTTTTATGGCATCGTGGGTAGCAAGAACTGCAGAGATAATATGCTCCCATCTCAGTTTCTTATTAGATTAAATGGTGAACATAAATTATAGTAGTAAAAAGGAGCACAAAAAACATCAGCGGAGGGAGAGGAAAAGACAAAATATATATGGATAGGTACCACAAGTCTTATAAAAGAAGATAGCTGCTTCTTTCCGAGTCCTTCCAGCAGTTAGGTGGTCCAGGGATTCTACTTGAGGGGCTCCCGCTGTGTCAAAATGTGATTTCAATAACCTGCAAGCATTTAGGTACAAGGAGAAGATGCAATCATGTAGCCAAAACTGAAAGATACTTATGGACCAGGCAATGCATCATATCTTAAGGACTAACATACCTTCTAATAGAATCAGTTGTTTTGTCAAGAGGCTGATCGTTGATTGGTTTTTGGGTTTGTGTTGGTCCAGTTTCCACAAAGAAATCTGCCAAAATAGTCAGGATAGCTGGTGATTGAAAGAAAGGAAAGAAGTTTACCACCCTAGGTTTAGTTGCTGCAACAGTAAATGATTGGTAGGTCAAATACCTGGCTCTGATGTCGGGCCATGTTCATGTAACCTTGACAATTCGAAATTTACATCAGGGTGATTCACCTCAAATACAGGTTCAAGTCTAACACTGCTATGTCCAGATGCAGAATAAGGCCTTTTCCGGTTGGATCTGTTCACAGTCAATACTTCATCACAGGGTTTAAGAGAAGAAAAAAGACTATAATTGCACGTGACATATCAAGATATACCAAAGAAAGAATTTGTCACAGGGTTGATAGAAATGTTTTGCTAACCTTCCTGAATTGGCTTCTGAAGGAATTGCCTGCCCAGATGCCGAGCTTGGGATGGATCTTACCTCATCTTTACATTCCAGAAAAAGCAAACTAGTTAAAATATCAGTGCATATGTTTGAAGTACTTCTCAAAGAGAAGCAAGGTATGCAACGTATTAAATAAATTCAATCGTACCAGAATTTCCAGGGGTTGCCATTGGGTTAGCATCAGTTCCCCCTAAACCATTGTTCTCAAGATTGGCTGTCAGTCCTTCCAGGACTACCTGTGCTGGGTCACTGTTGCCTCTTGTCATACCAGAATGTCGTCTTTGCTTATCTATGGAAGGCTCTAAGGACTGGGAGCCAACTCCACTATGAAAATCTTCAAAAGGCTTCACATTTCAACACATTGCAACTTATCAGACATGAGCTTAATTGATTTCTTAGAACACGAGAAAAGTAATAGAAGGTGGATTGGCTTAGATATCCTACTGGATCTTCATATTGTTGTCTTCCAGGCAGTGTTGATGACGATGGTTCTGGGGGCAGGGGTGGAGTGGTCCGTTCTGCACACAGATTAATAGTTAAGGTATTCTTTCTGTTACTTGAATAATTCATGAGGAATCTCGCAAAACGAACTATGGCTATAACTGACCAGAAGGGGAGGCACGGGGAGTTCGGGTACTTTTCATCCACAGGTCGAGGAGAGGACGTGGATAATATATGTCTCTACTTCCAGTTGTAAATAAATCACCAATTAGTACAATAGGTGGCAGCTCCATGAGGTTAACTATCTTCATAGTTGCCATTACATCTGTCCGCTGCAACACACATAGCATATGCAAATTAAAGTTCTTACATGAATATTGAAGTAGATGAACTTTCTTGTCTAATTCTATCTAAAAGTTTTTCATACGTCTTTCAAATTATGATCAATGCTCATTCCATTAATCACAACTGACAAGCTAAACCCAACCCAGTCCATTCAACTTTTAGTTAGTATGCAGGTATGTAGTTTCCCTTACTTGTCACATTAAGCTTGGTGGTTAAACAGTTTAAAATCCAGGAATAGAATGGGACACTGAAGATCAACCTTAGAGAGCAGGGACAAACCTTTCGTTTTCTTCCTCTTCTCGAAACTATGTCTGAATAATTTTGAAGCCAAGATTGGTATAAATGACCAGGAATGATTGTTTGTTCAAAATCCATTGCAGAGGCTTGCGTTCTTCTTGTTTTCCTTCTTATAGGCCCCTGTCTCTCTTGAACCTGCTTCATCCCCACTTTCTAAATTGATTAGTTTGTAATTTTATCCACTTTCAGAAGATGATTTATATGGCAAACATAAGATTTATTATGCTACCTGTCTAAATTCCTGGCATTCCTCTGGCTTATTGACCTGTTGTTCTGGATGTTGATCATCTTGGATTGTATCAGCTGTGGGAGGTCTTCAGATTAGCATGCATATATGACTAAACCTTTCACCTAATTTCTATGGTGGAATTTCTTTCTCAAGTACAAGAAACTGAAAAAGTAACCAAATGCAGGCACGTAGTTGATAGACACTAAAAGAATCATTTTAAGTGGATGAATAACAGAATCATGTGAAAAATATCTAATTCAAGCTTATTCCCATACAAAATACTACTACAATGATAAGCAGGTAGCAGTGTAGCATTCATGAACAGAATTTTCTCACAAAATGAATTTATAAAATGAGGGACAAGAATTTCATGTTTGCAATTATGTAACTCGCATTAACCTAATTGCACAGTGAAATATATAGACATTTAAAACAACGTGGAAAAGGAAAAAGCTTCAGGTGGTTACTTGTCGGTTCCCTATTTCTAAATTCATCTAAATTCAGAAAATTGAAAAATTACTCTATAGGTAAAGAATGTGCTGACCTTTTTGATGTTCATCTCGAGGAGGCGAAGGAGGAATGTGAATCTGTGTGTGCTCTCCTGACGTGAAGTTCAACTGTGTCTCCTCGTCCCCTTCAATGTCAAATCTGCCATTTACATAGAATAGACATATAAGACCATGACTACGAAAGCATGGGGTTTTGTGATTCAAAAAGGAAAACATGGGGTTTTGCTGTAGGAGGAATGAAACACAACTCACCTCTCCAAGCGACTGTGCAAATATGCATCAGCCTGACATGAGTCAAAACGTTCAGGTAAGGTGATATTCTCGGCCGCAGCTGAATAAGAGGATGACATAGGTTAGCAGGTAAGTAAGATTTGGAAATATGTGGTCAAAAGATTCAAAACTTAGACCACTGTGAAGAAAGCAGATTAAAAGAATGACAGAACCTTGATGGAACTGCTGAGGTGGATCTTCCTCCCCTGCATCATTGTTAACATACTGTTCGTCCACACTATCAAGTCGCTGCAAGGGTAGCACAGAATAAGTAAATGAGTAACTGTTTCTTTAGAGGACTCCATCAATTTAGAAATTTCTGTATGGAGTTCATACATAGGCATCTTCCTACCACGCATAATAACTATAAGCATAACAGTGGAAACAGCATTTCCTTTCTAATGTAACTACATCAACATGAGGGTGAGCCTTGTCGCATCAGAAAAACTTCAACCAGGTGTCATTAATGGTGGTATAACCTCCATCGAACAGAAACTACATTTCTCCCTAGAATGTCACATCATCACTCAGGTAGCAGGTCTAGAAGCGCAAATTATTGACTGCCTTGGTTATGAAGGAGAAAATGCTTCTATAAAACTTATTTTTATTAACTAAAGAATTGCAATTGCACTCTCCAAATTACTTATGATCCACAGTTAAATCATAAAAGACAAACAATGAAAATAGTTTAATAATTAGCACACATGAACTTGGCAAAAGAATGAACTCTAGTAGCACTGGCACCAATCAAAAGGGAAAAAAATGAGAGCTCAAAGGCCATGAACTTGAAAATATTTCATCATTTGGATGCTTGCAGAGTTTTTTCGATACTTACCATAGCAAAATAGGAGGTTTGCTGGAACATGGTGGTGGCCCCGTTGGAAAAATTAAGCATTCCTTCAATATCTATGTCTTCATTCTCAGGCAGAGTTACAGCTTCTTTCCTACAAACATGGAGACACACCCAAAGCAAAACCCACAGTTAATCGAGTCAATTGACAATCCTACCCCTCCAGCATGGGTGTGGGTACTTTCTACTTTGCACTACCACGATAAATCACAAGTTGGTAGTGAAATAAAGAAAAACCCAAAAGCCATTCTAACATGGGCCACTTCTAACGTGCGCCGTTTCTAAGACTTTTGGCCATTGAAGAAGAAGAAGACGACGAAGCGCCGACTGACCTGGCTTGAGATTTCCCTTTGGGGAGGACAGTTGGGTCGGCAACAGATTTCGCCTTCCATGCTTCGTTTATTTCGACCTAGAACAACACCGATAGGAAAAATCAATTAAACAAACATAGAATATAATGCCATTGGTAAACCAGAAATAGGAAGATATTTCAAGTATTTACCAGAAGACGAGTCACGTCATCTGTACGGAAACGAGAGCAATACAAAAGTAAAAGTCAGAAATAGATATTCAGAAACTGGAGACCAATATGTTCAGAGCTTAAACCAAAAGAAAGAAGGATCGGACGGTCACCGTAGAGTAGTTTAACTTTTCGTTCGTACACGATGACGACTCCACCTGAAAACGCATTTGACCAAATGAATTGGTGAGCTACTGGGTATGGAAGCAGAGACTAAAAACGATGAGAATACAGAGAGAGAGTTTGGCTACCCATGAGAATGCCGGAGAGTCTGAGAGCCATGGGAACTGAAGGATTCAAAATCTCCTCGCTGCAAACAAAAAATCATGAAAATCTACATGGATTTAGCAGAATGAAAAACACTGAAAACAATTTGAAAAAGTCAAAATTAATAGGAACAAAACTAAACCAGATCTTGATGATATCGAGCTTATCGAGCTTCCTCCGGTTGATTTTGGCGTGCATTGTCGCCGCCATCCTTCGTTACAAAACACAGAGAGTTCCATTTGCAAGCGCAATTGTAAATCCAAAGAAAAGTTAATTTCTAAAACAAACGACAAGGAAAAAAAATCGCAGAAACAAAGAGGTTTACTCGGCGAACCCAAACAGACAGAACGATCAAAACGCATGAAAAACAGAGCTATGAAGAAATTCGCATATATTTAAACAATAGATTCAACGAAACTCGCGTGCAAAATGAATGAAGCAGATAATGCATTACCAGATTTGGCCCAGAGGAGCTTTACGAGCTAGTAGCTGGTGCGAGTAGAACATTTTGCCGTCGGAGAGAAAAGTACGACGGCAAAAGAGAGAGGTAAAGCGGAAGACGAAGCTGAAGAGATTTTAGAAAAAAAGGCTATGAATGAAGATAGAGATGAGAGAGGTGATAGAGAAGGAGCTAAGCTACAATGGGTGAGAGTGTGTGTTTGAGTGGCTTTTGGTTCTCTGAATATTAACTGATTGTATGCGCGCCAGAACGCGGAGGTAACTTCTGCAGGGAAGAGCCCGATTTCGTGTGATGTTATATAACTGATGAAGTGGCCTATGGGTGTTGGGATTTTGCGTGCTACAACAGTGAAAACGGACAGACGGACGGATTGAAATTAAAATTTTAAACTCGGTTATGTAACTGTTGATATTTGATGTAAGTAACCAAATGTTGCTGTAAAAGTCGGTTAATATGGAACCCAAAGAATCATCTAGTAACTTTACACACTAGTTTCTTATTTACGTGCCTTCATTGCCACGTGGCTGATCTGCCAAATCCTTAGGCTTGGGCTTGGGCCATCACCAACCACAAATGATGTCAAAAGCCCAATATGGGCCATGATCCATGAAGATAACAAACAAGCCCCTACACACAGGCACACCCACCTAGGACGAGCACGAGCTATCTTGACTATTCTAACTTGTAAATTTTTAATGTGACTGTAACACCATCGCGAAGAGCCTCTTAATGGATAAAGTTTTAGTTATAATGATAGTAACATTATTTTGCTATTCTCAATTAATAATACTATACTATATGAAAGTGGTGTCACGCATGTCACAACGTTATTAATCAAGGATAATAAAATAGTATTATTCATATTTCATGAAAGTCTTTCTCCTCTTAATGATGTGATGGATTAGGTATACACAAACCTTCAAATTAGTAGGGCTTGATATAATTGAGTTGTGAAGTCTTTCCACATGCTAATTACCAAATTTGTTAAGCGAGCATCCTCCAAATTAGTTACAAGCCTTCTAAAACTTTTGATTTGGGAGGTAAGCATGAAGTGGAGAAAATTATCAGGGCCACTCTTATATCAAGATATGATATTATTAATTCATATATTATAATATAAGTGAAAAATACAATTAATATGTCATGAATTTAATATATAATATTAATAAAATTTATAAATAAAATTCATATGTCATGAATTTAATATATAATATTAATAAATAAGTACACATGTAATAGTTACACTAAAAAATTTCCTGAAGATTATCTTACAATTATTTTTCCCATTTGGCACCACCTGCTTTCATATGTCTTGTTGCTTATTAGTGAACTCTCATAATTTAATTATCTTTTGGCTGTCACTATATGTGTTTTATTTGTTGATTTTTTATTTGATTGATGTTTTATTTGTTGATTTTTTATTTGATTGATGTTTTATTTGTTGATTGATTGTTAAATCTTCCTTTCAACTTTTAGTACCCGCCCTATATTTCTCGTTGGCGAGGCAAAGGACAAAAGCCCGTGAATCCATGGACGTGGTTGAGTGGTGGGACCCACAGAATCACGTGAGTAACCGTATGTGCCAGCGCAAATGCCAATGTCCTTCTCCTCCTCCCACAAAACTCCTCCTCCTTCATTCAGACAATTCACAAATCTCCAGCCCTGTTATCCAATGGAAAAAAAACTAGTACAAGTTTCAGAGCAAGAGGTTCGCATAGATTTTGCACTCAACTGCAAATGCCGAGCTAACGTGCGCCTGACCTCCCTTTGCGCCACCGCCCCCGTAGCCTTCAAGGTCCAGACATCTTCGCCTCACAAGTTCCTCGTCAAACCACCCACCGGTTTAATCCCTCCGTTATGCCACGTTACCTTTCAGGTCATCCTCAAGCCTCAGGCCCAGCTTCCGCCCACCTTTCCTCGCTCGCCGTCCGACCGATTCCTCATCAGAACCTCCGAGTTCACCCGCGACTCCGAGTCCGAGTCAAGCAACCAGTGGTTCTCCTCCTGTTCCCGCGGCTCCACTCACGACCTCAAGCTCAAGGTTGCCTTCGTGGGCCCCTTTCTTCTACGCCACGCTGTCACTTGCGGGGACTACGACGCCGCCCGGAATATAATCAAGCGGCAGAGAACGATTCTCGCCGAGTTTCCACCCGGGGATGCTGAGTCGCTCCTTCAAGTTGCGACCGAGTTGGTTAACCCGGAGGACATGATTAACTTGCTGCTCGAAGCTGGATTGAGGATCGACGCAAGTGCGAGGTCCGAGCAAGTAAATTACAAGGTGGATTCCAAATGGGCATCCAACGGACACGAGGAGCCACAAGTGGCAGCGGCCTGCGATCGATTGGATTACGGTATGGGCTGCGGGGATGGAGTATGTGATAACCGCCGTTCGATCCAAGATGCTGCTTGTGATAAGGATGTAAGTAGTTTTACGAAGACAAAAACCTTAATTTTGTTGGGTTTGATTTGAGCCCAAAGACTGATGGGTTTCAATGAGGGTCACTCTGGTTAATATGAGGCCCAATTTAATTTCATATGCATTTTGTTATTTTTTATATGAAACAAGTGCGAACCATTTTAAATGAAGAACGGTGAAGGGATACGAATTTAGGTGCAAACGGGCGGACTATGTCTATGTGACGAAGAATAAATTATTTGATCTTTGATTATGATACATTTTTGTCCATGCAGAAGCTAGAAATGGGAGAACTAGTATTGATGGCGGCAAGACGAGGAGATTTGAAGCATGTTGAATTTCTGTTGCAAAATGGCGCGGATATAAACTGCTGTGATCAATATGGCTTGACAGCCCTGCACGCCTCAGCCATTAAAGGCCACAAGGATATTGCTCTGATGCTCATCGAATTTGGGTTGGAATTGGAATGCCGAGACAGCGAAGGCCATGCGCCCTTGCATTTGGCTGTTGTAGGCGGGAGCTTGGAGACCGTTGAGATGTTGGTTCAGAATGGGGCTAATGTCAATGCCAAGAGCAACAGCGGCGCCACCCCTCTGTACATGGCTACGGCAATGGGGTATGATGATATCACCGAGTTTCTTATTAGCAGAGGAGGATAAATGGTTAATGGAGCAAATGATTTGCGATTAACATCTTAATTAACAAATGGTTTGCAATTTACATTTATTTAGTATGCATACGTGAATTAAAATGCATACGTGAATTAAAACAGTTAGTTTATACAGTGAGTACCGAATCTCGAATCCCTATCTTCTAAATTAGATTAATTTAGAATAATTGTTATAAATAAATGAATAAAACATTTCATTATCATGCCCAGTGTTGCAATTAGATTGCTGGAAAGGGATGAGAAAAAGGAAGACGATGGACGGCGCCAATTTCATAGCATTGGCGCTATTAACTAGGAAACTTCACTCTTTTGTATTTTTTTCAATTGGCTTTTGATTGTTTATTGTGAATTTGTTGCAACTAATTTCATAATTTCAGATTAAAATAAATAAATATAGATAAAAGCCAATAAAATGAAATCCCCCTGCAACCGTTATTTTGAAGTTGACCTCTCACTCCACTGCACTGCTTCTCAAAAATGTACGGCGTACTCCTTCTGCTTCTCCTGTTCTTCACAAACCCAGCCTCACCTTCCTCCTTCCCAGATCGTTTTACCAAATCCCTATCCGCCAATCTTCTGAAACACAAATCCCAAGAATACTTCGAGCTCGGCCATCCCCTACCGTTCGATCAGCTGACCCCATCCTGCTCCCACCGAGTCCTCAGGCACTCCTTCGCCAACACCATGAATAGCCCTCCCTTCTCCACCGGCTACTCCCCGCCGTCCGATTGCCCATCTCCCTGGTCCCATATCGGCCTCGAGTTTCGCGCCAAATGCAAAGGCGAGCAGTACGACCGGATAATCGGCTTGTGGCTTGGCGGCGCGGAGCTCCTCCGCACCAGCACGGCCGAGCCGACAGAAAAAGGAATCTTCTGGAAGGTTCGAAAGGACATCACCAGATACTCCTCTCTCCTCGCGCGCTGCCGCCTCAACCTCACGATGATGCTCGAGAATGTCGTTGACCACGTCTACACCGGCGTTTACCACGTCGAAGTCCATTTCCTCTATTACAACCAAAACGTCGCCGTTACGCTTAACCCCGTGATGAGGGTTGCTTCGATAATCCCATATCAAAATTTGGGAACTGTTGCTTACGAACCGGCCGATTTGATCTTACCGATATCCGATAACGGAGATAAAGGATGCTGGTTCCGAATCGAGAGCGAATCAGATTTCCACTCCAAGGAAATCCGGATCCCACGGAACACACGACGACTCGTACTGGAGCTGTACGTGTCGTTTCACGGAAACGATGAGTTTTGGTACTCGAACCCGCCAAGTTTATACATCACAACGAACAACTTAGCGACCGGGCGCGGCAATGGAGCTTACAGAGAGGTTTTCGTGACAGTCGACGGCGAATTGGTGGGTTCGGAAGTTCCATTTCCGGTGGTGTTCACCGGTGGCATCAACCCTCTGTTTTGGGAACCGGTCGTGGCCATCGGAGCCTTCGACCTTCCTTCGTACGATTTGGAATTGACGCCATTTCTGGAGAAGCTTCTAGATGGGAAAGCTCATAGCTTTGGAATTGGAGTGGCTGATGGGATTTCATATTGGCTTGTGGATGCCAATTTGCACATTTGGTTGGACCATCAATCAAAAAAGGTGAAGGCCAAATCAAGCGTTTTGCCTCTGCCTCCTGCTATTCAAGTGAATCGAGGTACCCAGTTTAAACAGCTTGATGGGGTTTTCAAGATCAGAGCAGAGAGACGCAGTGAGTTTGTGGGATGGGTTAAGTCCAGTTCAGGCAACTACACCACCACATTCTCCCAGCGGTACAATTTCAAGAGCTCGATTCGATTCGCAAAGAATGGGACTTATAAATTGGTGAAGCAGAAAGTCAAGGCCAAAAGGGAAGTGAAGGTTGAGAATGAGAAAGGTGTGGTGGTGCTTAGGAACAGAGTTAGGAGGAGGTACCCTATCAATGTCATCACTGCTATTTTACCTGGGTCTCACAAGGACACTTATGTGTTAGTCACAAACGTGTCGCATTCGATGAAGGAGAAGAGCTTGCATGGAGACTATTCGAGTCAGGTTTATAACAGTCAGGATTCGAGAGGGTGGATGGAGGTGAAGGATCACTCTGTTCTCTCTGGAACTGCAAATACTGAGCAGAGTTTTCGTTACAGTGGTGAGTTTGGTTGTTATTCAAGAACCGTTGGTACAAGTGATGGCAACCTCATCAGGGATAACTCCACCTTCCGTTGTTTGTCTGTCTCATGATGATTTTGTTTCCGTTGGTTATCTTTCTCTGTTGCAAGTTTTCATGGCTTCCAACTCCTATCCATGTATGAGTTTTTTTCTTCTTTAATCTTTTCCGCTTATCCCCTTAGTCACATTGCACAACAAAGTGCATTTGGTTTATGCTTAATAATGTATAAGATTTAGTCATCTGTGTCTCTAATATGCCTTCCTTTTCATTTGTATTTAATTTATCTCAACGAGAACGAATACAAGGCATGGATTGTAAAAAAGCCAGAAGCTGTGTCATTACCACTATGGAAATAATTTCTTATCTATGACCGCGGACGCTTATTTTGAGAGTCAAAAGCTAAAAATTCAAAACTTTCTATTTCTATCTTACAATTGATTAATATATGTTATAAGATTTGATTGTACAGGCGAAAAAAAGATCAGAACCTTCAATCATGATTTACTTGAACCTCTTCCGGGACGCCAGAAACCTTTCTTACCAAAAAGAAATTGATCTTTGTGGACAGCTGTCGACCAGTGAAGCGAATGCAAAATTGGCCTCATCTTGTTTATCATTTCCATTGTGTCCTGAACCACTAAATACCCACCAGGCCTTAATATGCGATCCATTTCCACCACCACATCTATCATGTCGCATCTGAAAAAAGCGAAGACTAATTACAACCAAAATTGTTGACCGTGGCGTAGATGAAAATAATATTGACATGCTGTAATCATGTTTCAGTGTTTTCGTTCATCAGATGCCCTATAGCAGGGTAGGTGCTAGCAAGCAATCAAAAGGTCACAAGAGTAGTGCGAAATTGTATCGTACCTTTGCGAATGGTTTTCAAAGAGAAAACTGGAATGCAGTAGATCATATGTTCGAGGGTAGGTATTCAAAGACTCGCACCAGTCATGGTAAATTCCAATCAACCCTCTGTCGAAAATGACGGACAGAGTATCTGGTACATGAACGGGGATGACATTCATTACCCAGAGAAGTTGATCGGTAAGTGCCGCAGCAAATCTGAAAGGCACCACCCGAAAAAGAGGACTGGATTAGAGCAACAACAATAAGCATACTTCCAAAAATAATAAGCACTGGAATGATCGTCTAACACCAATGACTCAAAAATAAAATATGGAAGTAGCAACTACTCATTTGCTAAATTTACCCTCCATAACCAGCATTCATATCCATTACATTCCGCACGCTTGACCAGTTTATAGCAGCATTGTTCACATAGGCATCTGACACAAGTGCAGACCAATGTATGGTGTCCTTGTAGAACATTTCCTCAGCTTCTGGGTTAGTAGCTAGGCTCGGAGGTTTACTGGTAAGCCTGTTGGGCCAGGGTAAGGGCCAGCTAGATCGAGGTGGTAGGGTAACACAAGAACTGAGTGGCACATACCTGTAACACAAACTTAGACAAGATTTAGGACAAATATAAAGAGTACTCTGCTTAGATAAGCAGTAGCAGCAATACGAGAGAAGAGATATCCCAGGAAATTACCATGAACTGTTTTTCCTGTCTTTAGGACCACAAATAGGTGGTTTATTTTCTTTGCGTTTAAAATATCGTACAAATGAGATGGGCTTCCGATATATTACAAGCCCAATTCCAGTTGAATCAACAGTCTTAGCGACAACATCCCAGCACATTGATCTTGTCAGAGCCTCCATAGCTGGAAGAAACATGCATATACATCCAACTTAGATCGGCTTAACATATCTTCACTTTTTATGGTAAACATTGCTGCTAAACTCTACACTAATTATATGTTGGATTTAGAAGCTTCCATGAAATGTAGTCCAGTAAAGAAAATAGAAGGTGATCAGAGGGATAAGTGAGAGAGAGAGGGATCAGATTACGAACATTTCCATACACGCTTATCTCTATCATCATCACGATAAACCGGTGTAGCAGACCATATGAAAAAACCTCCAGGCCTAAGAATCCTGTTGAGCTCCAATAGTGGTTTCCCACCTACACTAACCAAAACCATTAAACTAACAGAGAGAATAAATAGGACAGAGAAGAAATGAATTAAGAAAGAACTTCAAACTCGAAAGTGATTTATTTAGACAAAGTACCATCTGCATCCCAGTGAACCCTGCACCTTGCACAATGAATCAAATCATATGCATTGTCGGGAAATGTCAGCCTTTGTGTTCCAATAACCGAGAGAGTAGCAGGAATTCCCCTTTCAAGAGCAAACTGTATCTGAGCTTCATGTTCATCTTTTGGGGCAAATGACATGGTAATAACATTTCTGTCCAGCAAATAGCCACCAAAGCTAGCAACACCACAACCAACATCTAAAACAACCCTTACATGCCTCCCCCATTCAATAACTGGTAAAGTCTGGAGTGAAACAGAAATAAAAAACCATATCAAAATTTCAAAACCAATGTAAAATCAGAAGTGGCAAAGGCAGGTAACCCTGTACCTTTTCGATGAAGTCAGTGTAGTGATTAACTCCTTCCTTAAACTGAGTACCACCGCCAGGAAAAATAAGATAATCATCAGACTTCTTTACCCAATTTTGGTCCTTCTTGTACTCAACAAGCTTTGGGTGAGGAACATTGTCATACCATATCTAAAAACAGAGAAAATCACCAATACATTATTGAATGCTGCAGTATTCAGGATATGCCACCAACTTCACATTTCCATAAAATCACTTTCCCAAAAAGGAAAATCATGAAAGTTTTTCTTGAACAATTAGATGTTAAAGTCGATTGCTTAAAACATCTACAAGCTATACCCTTTGGATTTGAATCTTGACATAACATAGTAACACACCAAAATACCCACCTTCTTCATTGAAAGCAATAAACCCATTTGAGAAAAACCAGAAACAAATCTTACCAAAGTATAAATCTCACCATGTCCCTGCTCTCAGGCCACGGAACCGGCACCTTGTAACCTTTCGGAAGCGGCTCCAGACACCTGGGGCTCGGCTGCGGGCAATGCCGCTCGCGATGCTCCATATGCCTTCTAGACTTCAAGGCCTTGATCGCCTGGAAATTGTCCAAGCACGGTATGTAATCAATAGCCACCGATCCCGTACAGAGTCTCCAATTGAAATTCACAGAAACAGGGATACTAGTCTCATCCCAAACGGGACCGTTTTGGATGGGCGGTGCTGTGATGGGGTTTGAGGCGTGCGCGGGTAGAGGAGAAGCGATGACGACGGGTTGTGCAGACGACGACGTGTGAACATCGGAATAGAAGAAGAGAGGGTCAGGGGTGTTGGTGTTGGTGAAGAGGAGGACTGTGACGCAGACGAGCAAGAGTGAGAGTGTGAAGATGAAAGGGAATTTTCGCTCTTTGAAAAAGCTTGGGACTGAGATGCCCATTTCTGAGAGCTCTGTTCCTCCCTGCGCGTTAAAGTTTACTTTGTTGAATGTGAGAGAGAAAGGGACGTATATTTATACGGTGCAGGCCAGCTGATCAAGATTCAAGATCGAGAAGAGTACGCGGTATTTCTAGTAGGATTTCGAAAATCCGACGAAGAGAAGACGCAGGTTTTCGACTCTGCAATTATTTTATTTCTATTTTGAACAGCTTGTCTGAAAATTAAAATCAATCATTTAATTGCACTCACTACGAATCTACGATTACGATTTTGGTTAGAGTAAATTACAGTATTAGTTTCTGAATTAGATTCTTATATTAAATTCCTAGATTACTTAGATTAAATTATTTAATTCGGTTGGTCCATTTCAGTTTAGTTATTAATTATGTTAGTATCTGAATGTAGTGTGCATGTAAAGTCCGCAATTTCTCTGAATTTACCCTTATAAATATCATAATAGGTTTTCGGTTTAAATTTTAGGCTGAATTATGCCCACCCCTAGTAGCTATGGGTAGGGAACATTTGGTAAACCAAATGGTGCCCACTCAACACCTGGTGGCCAGCGGCAGGCTCAATTCAGCAAGTGGGGATTAGCAGAGGTGCACGTAAGTTAGTCCGAACACCTCATGATACTTACCAAAAAAATGGTGCCCACTCCAAGTACAGAATTGTGCCCATGCCACACTTTCGCAATCACTTTCTCCAAATGAGAAATTATGAAACGTGCTTAACACATACCAAACCAAATATGAAGTACCGCTACCCACCTTGTCCATTCAAAGCAGTAAAAAAAACAAAAACAAATCTTACCAAAACATAAATCTCACCATGTCCTTGCTCTTAGGCCACGGAACTGGCACCTTGTAACCCTTGGGAAGTGGCGGCAGACACCTTGGACTCTGCTCCGGGCAATGCCGTTCACGACGCTCCATATGCCTCCTCGTCTTCAAGGCCCTGATTACCTTGAAGTTATCCAAACATGGTATGTAATCAACAGCTCCCCAACCCGTACAGAGTTCCCAATTCAAAGTCACAGAAACAATAGTGGCTCCATCCGAAACGGCACCAGTCTGGAGGGACGGTGATGTGATGGGGTTTGAGGTCTGAACATCGGAGTAGAACAAGAGAGGAGAAGAGGTGTTGGTTTTGGTGAAGAGGAGGATTGTGAGGCAGAGGAGCAAGAGCGTGAGTGTTAATATGCATGGCAGCTTTCGCATTTTGGAGAAGCTGGGGACTGAGCTAATTCCCATTTTGCTAGCTCTGTGTTTGTGTGTTTTAAAGCTTTGTTGAAAATGAGATAGAGAAAGAAAGGGACGTATATGGAGTGGCCAAGCAGCTTATCAAGATTCGAGATCCAATGGAGAAGGCTGCATTTCTATCAGGATCTCACAAGGGTCGAGACAAAGTATAAAACTGGGCAATTTTTTTATTTATGTTTTCAACCGCTCGTCTGAAAATTATATCAATCATTTAAAAAATAAAAATAAATAAATAAATAGAAACAACATGAGAACCACCAGAAACCAATACGAGAGAGAGAGAGAGAGAGAGAGAGAGAGAGAGAGAGAGAGAGAGAGCAAAACATATAGACGGGAGGGCCACAAAAAGTTTCTCCATTACTGTTTTAAAGTATTGAACTATTAAGGTGTCAAGTATCCTCCAAAAGACTCTGCTCAATTCGGTAAATTTCCAAAACATCTCGATGATACGATACCTTGAAATTGGTTTTATACAACTGTTAAAAAAGGAACTTGCTTGAGGAAAATGGTAAGCCACTATCTATCCCAAAAAATTCTTCTTCAATCTACAATGCCGGGGCCCGCACCTTCCACGTTAACTTCTCCCATTCCTGTGTCTTCCTCTTCCTCACTACCCTCATCACCACTGACCTCCTCATTGTCCTGGCGGAGCTTACTCATGTGTTCAGCAAGAAGTTTGTCATCCCGTTCACTCACCTACATCAGTACACCACATTAGACACAAAAACGAAAAAAATTTATATGCCAAGTCAATTAAGATTACTATAGATTTGAAACTCAACGCTATGAGGTATGGAAAATAAAAACTTCTGCTAAAAGATTGATAGGCATTCAAAGTCAGCTGAATATAAAGAAACAGATGGAAAACCAAAATACTTATAAAAGAGACAAAATATAAAGAAGAGGGTTGACACTCACCACTCTGGGTGCCTCCTTCACTGCTAATTTCCCTTTGTGATGTTCTATCTCTTGCGTGCAAGCTTCAATTGCATTGCTTAGAACTGATATCCCTTGCTCCTGCCCAGCCAGAACAGAAATTATAAAATTCATTAGCAAAAGCGGCAAGCGGCAACTATTATTGTGCTTCACAACTGCCTTCAGGGAAGTCAGCAGAAACTTCTACATTACTAGCTTCCTGAATATGGTATCTTTAGCAGAGAAGTAGTAACTAATGCTTTGTGGGCAGGAATCGGAAAAATTGATGATACAAATCAAGCAATGAATAAGAACCATAACATTATGTAGAAATTTAAATAGTGCTAGAATGGCAAGGTTGAATAGTCCCATAACTACGTTCGAAGTTGAAATTGAAGCTACAAATTACTAAATGGATATTGGCCAGACCGTAAACCTACAACGCAATATAGCACCAGTGCAGGAAAAAAATGTGGGAAAAGGTTGTGATCCTCTGAGCAGCCATCAGGTAATATCTTAACTGACTCAAATTCAAAGGTTCAAGGTACAAAATTTGAACACTCTAAACTAGGGGAAATCAGTGCAAGGAGGAGATATATTCTTAGGACTAATGTTTTTTCTTTGGCCAGGCAGGAAAACAAACATTTATAACCTGAATATCAAACAGTTTGCTTCTTGACAAAAAAAAACATGTCATGTTGATAAGGGACATTATCAATATGCCATTACATTGCTTGGTGGATGATCAAGTTTACTGCATAGTAATCATGCAGTTGAAACAATAACTGATCAACTCAAAATTTAAATCAGTGTCAGCAAACCTTATTAAGAGTCTGTGTGGTAAGAACATAAAGCGGAGGAGCAACCAATTTAATTTTCACAGGACAGTCATTATTGCCTGCAGCTTCTGCTTTTCGCATGGCATCCTGCAAAAACAAGAACAACATGTATGTAGAAAATAAAAATCCAGCCATCAAAATCCAGCCACAGAGAAAGCATCATGACAGAAAAATAAGCAGATTCCACAGAAGGACAACACAAAACCTTAATGTGAAGAACACCATCAAATTGGAAGCACTTCATTTCAATATCAGCTCGGATCTTCAATGGTTGTGGGGTCATTCTTCTCCTAATATTCTTCACCAAAGATTCTTTCACTTCCTCCGACACAGCAGGAACCACCTTAGTGACCTACAAATTAAGATGTAAGGGAGTATCACACCTATGCATATGCGACATAAACAGGAGAATATGAACCAAAATCCTCACACAAACAGGCATTACCTCTTGTCCATCAGGGCCAGTCTCTTTGACCTCACGTGTGAGGGCACTAAGAACTGAATCAGGATCGGTCACAATTATTTTGAAAGCCTGCACAAAGTAATAATTCATGTTCACTACTGAAAATTAACACCACAAACATACATTGAAAGGCGGTGAACATCCTCACCTCAAAAGCATGACCATATTTCCGGTATAACGGCCAGGCAATATGGACATACAGCTCCTGTAACAAGTAAAGTCAATTAGTGACAGGGTAACATCCTATGAAAACAATAGATAACAAACAACACAAGGTAGAATTCATACAAAATTCAGAGAATTCAAAACAGCACAAAACCAAAACAACTGAAATTACACCAAAATACCTCCAAATCGATGCCCAAAGTCTCGGCCACATGACGCATGATGGAGTGGACGAGCTTGCTCTTGTTGTACCTCTCCTCACAGGCCTGGATATCCTCCTCGGAAACCCTCCTCTTACTCAAATCAATGTAGCCCTTCTCCTTGTCGACCCTGAGGACCATGACGGGCTCGATTCGGCCCACCTTGATGAGGCTGCTGACACTTCGAATCCGACGGCGGGAGAGCTCCGAGAAGAGAATCATGCCCTCGATGTTGTTGTACTCGAGGAGCGAGACGTAGGCGCCCATGTCGGCGATGTTCTTGACCTGGATCATCACCGCCATGTCCACCTCTGGGTACCTGGCCTCGTACATGCGGCACTCCAAGTTTGGTGCGTGGGAAGCCATGGTTGTTGGGTCAGGGTTTTAAGAGAGAGAGAGAGAGAGAGAGAGAGAGAGAGAGTGTGTGTGTGTGTGTGTTTTCTGGGAAATCAGTATGCTCGGCGCGCCGGAAAATGGAGGGTTAGGGTTTTGAGCAGAGATAGCGTAGATGTCCAGAAACTCAAGTTAGTACCGGAAAGGGTCTTGAGCTTTCATTTGTTTTCTTATTTTTTGTCGGCGGGTATAGCCATCAGGAGCCAAGGCCCAAATCTTATTAATTTAAAAAACCCAATATCCCCCCAAAAAAAAAAAAAAAAAAATAAAAAAAAAAAAAAAAAAAAAAAAAAAAACGACAGCAGGATTCGAACCTGCGCAGGCAAAGCCCAACAGATTTCGAGTCTGTCTCCTTAACCACTCGGACATATCGACTGCTTGAGCTAAAATTCACCAGAGTTAAGAATATAATCAAATAATTTATTTTGTTTAAATACTTCTTGAATCTTGACATTTGATGCATGGGATCTGTTGCTTATTACAATTAAAAGCATTCTGGAACTTCAGTACAAGATGCATCAATGCAAGTAACTATGATTAATTAAAAACAAAAAAAAATTATTTGTTTGTTTTTTTTACCTATTATTAGTCTGCATTTGAATATGTATTTGGTGCTATATATATATATATATATATATATATATATATATTGCACTTTTATTTTATGACAACAGTCATCGGTCCATTTCCTTCCTTCCAAAGCAAAACCAAGAAAGAAAAGATAGAACCGATTGATAAAAAAGCATTCACAGCACACAAAGCAAACAAAGTTGCACCACCATTGCTACCAAAGAAAAAAAGAAGAAAAGCAAAAGATATGTCCCTTGCATTTGTCCACATAATACTTCCTTCCTTGGTCCTTTGTATCAATATCAGTTTTCAAAGCTTCCAGAATGGCAAGCTTGGCTTCTGCTCAGGCATCATCAAGGCTAGACGCTCTGAGTCTCACAAACACGATCGTATCCTTGGCTCGAAACGCCAGGACACACCGCCACAATTGCGGGCAGCTCGCTGAGCACGTAGGGATGATAGGAAACTTGCTTGAGAAGATTAAATCAACTGACCTGATGAAGCTCCCAGCTACAAAGGAGCCGTTGGTTGGTCTTGAAGAGGCTCTTGAGAAAGCACTTCAATTAGTGGAGAGTTGCAGAGACAAGAGCTGTCTCTACATGCTTGCCATGGGGTGGAGTGTAGTTTATCAATTCCGCCAAGTCCAAGCTGAGATTGACCGCCACCTCAGTCTCCTAGTCCTCCCCATGATTTCTCTGCTTCATGAGTTTCGCCTGCAGGTACGTCTTAGTAACACGCTTTCTTATTAGACGGTATGACATGTGATTTTACCTTATATCATAATATATAGATTATTTGACAAGATAACGTTTTCGACCAATATAAACAGGCTTGATTAGGATAACTAATTATAATTAATAACTGGTTTTGTGACTGTGAATCCAGAATTTGAAGGAAGGCCTGCAGGCCATTGAAGCGGATCAAAGAATGTATACACTTGAGGAAGAGGACATGGAGGCCCAGAATGTGATATTGAAACCTGATAGAACAAGGACAGATGCAGAGATATTAGAGAAGTCATTGTCTCCAAAATATCCTAACTTGACTTTCAGTGAGGCACTTCAGGAGGAGAAGGAGAAGCTGAACATTGAATTGCAGCGGTCAAGAACAATTAACGACGACCCCGATCAATGCAGAGTGATTGAACATCTTATTGATGTAGCAGAAAATGTGGTCAGTGGTGTGCTGCCTGGGAAGAAAGTTGAGAAGCTTCTTGTCAATGAACCAAGTTATGTGGTATCAGGGTAAGTGTTTGAGAAACTGGGGAAGCTTCTCTGGCTTGTTATTTGGTGGGGTTAAAGCATTTTATGGCACAGGTACATAACCAATGCCAAATCCATCTATGGAGACCATGGCTTACGGCCAGAGAATGAAGGGCGGTTCGGGTGGCACGCTGATCTTTTCGGTTGTTGCAGCGAGCCTTGTCTAAGTGAGTTTCTCGGAGCCATTATCTTCCTTCTAAACTCTCTTTTCTCACTGTGTAAGTTACCATGTTTCAATAGGCCTGAAGACCTGCGTCTACCCTTGTGGAACATTTTCATGGATAGCCAATGTGGTGTCAAAAGGAAAAATATGTGAGCTCTCAACATCTGAACATTTGATAGTGTGATAGTGGATAGCCAATGTGGTTCTTCTAATTGATTTGATTTTAACTATTTCAATTTTACCACAGCTCGTGAACAAGCAACCAATAACCTAATAGCATGCTCTGTTTTTGGTGGCTGTTGTTGTTACACTTGCTTTGTGAGAAGGAAATTGCGGCAACTTTTTAACATGGAAGTAAGTATTCATAATTCATATTCTATTTCACTACTAGAAGATTAGGGTTTTGCTATCATTTATATTAACTAAGATTTACTGTTTGTTTACAGGGAAGTTCTTGTGATGACTTCTTCACTCACCTCGTGTGCTGCTGCTGTGCCATGGTTCAGGAACGACGAGAACTTGAACTCAGAAACTTCGAAGGTAGGTGCCATTAGAAGTTTTTCTTTGTTAGTCTCCTTGCAACATTTGTAGCTCTGGCTGAGCTTTGTACAAGTTGCTGGTTGCAGGTTGCCGAGGAACAAATATGATCGTCCCACCATCATTACAATGCATGAATGCATGAAGCCTTGGGTGCCTTGTACTACGTCTTAGATGTATGTAAATCAATTTATGATTCCAATCCAACAAATTGGCATGAATATCCTGTTACATCTTTTTGGCTCAAGTTCACATATAAAGCTCCTGGACTAGCCCATATGCTCTAGAATTGTCATGAACTTTGGTTCATGTTTTACCGATATAAAATCCACATAGTTTAAAACAAATGCTCTGGAACACAGAAAAGTAAAGATATGGTTCACGCATAAAGAAAATATCATCCAAGAAAATATCATCCAACTCTTCGCTCCTTTTTCATCTTTGCCCAAAAGACAGTTTGAGTCTCTCCCTATTTGGTTGGCACCGAAAGTGCTTTAAGACAATAAAATTGATAGATCCCTTAGTCAATAATTTCCATTAGAATAAAAACGCGTAAAAACAAATGTGCAAGCTACTCCAGAAGTAGTTAATACGTGTATGACATCCATCTCTCCATGAACACCCGTCCCAGCAAGGCAGAGAAGCTGTTTTGTTATGAGCAAAACTACAACACGACAATGTTACAAAATTCACTACTCTACCGCCAGCCTCAGATAATTCAAACTGCAACAAGACGAACGGATTCAGTATTAGCAATTGTATCAATCCAAAACAGAGGTCTGCTACAAGAAAGAGCCGCTGTGAATCCAAGTCACTCAAGGTAGTGCAAGAATTATCCCTTCCGCACTTGAAAACAAGAAGAAACTACAATTCATCGAGGGAACTTTTCTCACCATTCCCCAGTGAGAACATCCAACGGAACAGTTGAGATAACTTACTAGCAACAGGCTTCTGCTCCTGTTGTTCTAGTTTTACATCGCACACAGAATTATAGTCATGCTTCAAATGAGGAGCAACAATTCTTTCCTGGAAAAACACAAATGGTAAAATGAGAATGAGCTGAAAGATCATATCTATTAAATGTGAGAGTAGGGTAGAAAGAAACGGTACCTTAAAAACATCAAGTGGACAGAAATCAGTACCATCACAACCCTAAACACCAAAACATTATTATCTGAGAATTCAATACAAGGAAAAAACAGAGAGCTACGCATTACGACTGAAACAGCTGGCCATTATTCGCCATTAAAAAGATGTATGAAAAGAAATTTGTAATCCGATACCAATTGTGTTCCTCATGAAATCTTCTAAGTTCAAAAGTGAAACCAAGGTCTGGAATCCGAAAATGTTTGAGAAAGTTAAAATTAAGTAAAGAATGGGGCCTTACTGGCATTGGAATAGGATGTTCATTGTGCAGCACTTGCACAAAGTGCTTGTTTGATGTGTTGGCTGGACAACTGTACAGAACCAGCATGTTATTCCCACCAAAAGGTGCCACAGTGTGGCCCCTCCAATTTCTCTTCTGGGGAGGCTTTGGAGGGTGTGGCAAGGCCTGTTCCCTCTGTATTTTTTCAAATTCTGAAACATAGAAAACATAACCCGTACTATGAGAACAGAATATACAAGAACCCATATACATGAGCATTTAGATTCCCACCTGCACATAAACCAAGATCATGCAACCGAATTAAGAATTTACTGAAGAAATCACTCACCAGATCCGTCAAGAAAAAGTCCAAGTAGGCATGAAAATGGAATGACAGTTTCTGCATGTGCGAACCGTAGTCTCGCCTTCTCATTACTACCAGGAGCATGTTTTTCTACAAAGAAAAGGGGAGGGGGAGAGAGTGAGTGAGAATTGGAATACCAGAAGTCATATAGCTTACACACAACTACATAATGCAAAGAATTCCACATCTAAATGTAGTCCAAATAGACACTGACATATCCATGAGGTTTAATAGTCCTCAGTGACACAGTATTATCCAGTTATAACTGCGCACTATTGAGTTACCTTCTTCAGCCTTAATAGCCTGCTCCATGGACTGCACAACATCTTCAAGTAAGGGCACTCCCATTCTGTAGTTTATTGATTTACCATATCCCTTTAATATAAAGGCCTCCAAATCATCCATCCATTCCAGCAAAGAAACCTAAACAGAGGAGACTTTTTTCATGTAAATAAACTAACAAAAAAACATTGAGATCACGTAAATCTGTGTTTACTGATATTACTAAACCACATCAAAGGGGAGGGGGCAATTACTTAATGCTTCTTCAAAGCATTTTTTTAATATTTTTTTTTTTTTTTTTTTTTTTTTTTTGTGTTTTTAATTCAATCAGCACCAATTCACTTGCTGTGCCCTCTCCATTCATGGATGTAACTACAAGCCAAAAAGGCTAGTATTCATCATGTAACTAGTTTCAGTCATTTTAGTCGTCTTCACAGTATCGGAGTCATGGTGTATCATATATGTTCATATATCATATTCAGGTTCAAACGAAAAATGTTATACAGAATAACCTGATTATCATGGAATAATATAAGAAATTTGGTTAATCTTGACAATAAAAAATTAGCATACCTCAGAAGGGCTGAAAAGTGCACAAGCTTGATCAACTATATTCAACAAGGACGCTTCCTGCCAAATAGAACAAACCACAGATGACCATAAAATCAATTGGACTTCAGGGATAATTAATTCACAAGCTCAGTCCACGACAGCAATAAAATGAGTTTTGTGTATGAAAACAGAAAGAAAGCAATCACCTGTTTGCACAGAAACCACAGAGAAGTTGTATCCTGCCTTGTAAAATTCAACCTGTAGCGCCTTCTTAATGCAGAAGTTATTTCATCATAAACGGGTTCCTTAAGCTTATCAACAGCAGGCTCCTGACTTTTCTTAAATGCCTACATGCATAAAAGTCTTCGTCAACCAACATATACAGCACAGAATTGCAGATAAACCAATAAAAATGGGGGTTATGGCAACCCAGTCGAGCTACACCCAATTCCACCAACTAAGAAACTGTAATCAGATTGTGTGTGTTGCACGTGTTCAAAAATCAAGGAAAAGATCAGGACGGCAGAATACCTTGTAGTTTTGACAACAATCATGAAACCTTAGCTTTGTATCACTTGCACGGCTTTCACTGGTTACAGCAAAAGCTCGATGACGCCCTGGTCCAAGACTTCCTTTCCCACTAAACAATCCCATGCCAAATGCCACAGCACTGGCTGATGCCCGAGGGACCTATCACATTATAAAAAAGATGCATAAGATGATAGGTTCAAACAGAACTGACAAAAATCTGAGGCTGATATTCACAGCCAGAGAGATATAATTAACTTCGATCTGCTTAAAGTCTCAACTTGAAAATAAGAATTACTCCAAACATTGCAATAGAAAATTTCCAAGTTAATAGATGACTATTATGCCATATTCAAAGTTACCAACAACCTATAAAACAAGGCTGATCATGGCCATAATTCATCACATATAGGAAAAATATACTTGAATGCTCTAAACAAAAAGAGAAGAAAAAAGCCCTAGAACAAACAAATCTTACCTGTGTTGCCTTTATTGCATAAACATCTGGATGGTAATCATCATTAAACAAATTTGGAAATCTTGCTCGAGTCCTGATCCCAAGATCATAGAGTTCATCCTCTCCTTGGATAGTTAATTCTCCACCTTTCAGTTTTCCTTTCCAAGGAGACTTCCAACCCTTTAACCAACCAGGAAGTTTTTCCAAAGACAGGTTCTGTTCTTCAGCTTCCCTCAGTAAAACCTCCATATGAGTTGCCAAGTTGTCCAACTCTTTAATCCGCTTTTTGGTAGGAGAACGAGTTCCATGCCTTGCCTGATAATAGAAGTTGCATCAGGAGCCATAAATGTGAAACTCTCTAGTTCAGGCATTTAAAAATAAATGTCATTTGTGGAAAGCCAGCAAGCTAATCTTAACAAACGGGGTAGGAGTCATGCTTAAAAAGAATCACATCTGATAACTAAATATGTAACCAGAATACATACATACATACTTACAGATGCGAACACAAAGTTCAAACAAATCTGAGTAATTCCTGATAGCAAAATTTATTATTGCCTCTTTGTCTAATTGAAATTTGAAACACAAACACTGAACACACAAACAGTTGAAACACAAATGGAAATTTAGAAATTGGCAATGACAATATCAAAAAATAAATTTACCACAAGATTTAAGTGGATAGGAGTACATCCATTTGGAATCTTCGATGGAACAAATGAACTGTCCGCAATGCCTTTAACGACACCGTATCTGCAACAAAAACCCATTAGTTATTTCTCTTTCCATGATAATTCTACCCTCTATTGCTTGAAAATATTAATTCTTCAATTTAAATATGGAAAAAAATTGCAACTTGAAACACTTTCTGCAATTTACTCTTAACCAAGCAGACGGCTAAGCAATAAGAACCAAAAATCTAGTAACGACATATCGATTCACGTAGAACACACTTAAATATAAATAAAAATGTAACAAATTCGTAATCAAATTAATGGGAAATTTTGATTTTGTGAGAGAGAAACCTGGAAACAGTAGAAAGGTGTTGGCGAACATCGAAAGCTTCTTCTTCGGCATTTGAATGAACGAGTAACGATAATAATACTAGCAGAACAGCCGCCATGGCCCGCTTCATCTTCTCCGTCTCAGTTTGTCTCTCTGCGTTAAGAACTTGAAGAAAGGAATAATTGGAAAATGTAATGATCAATTCTCATTTAAATAAAGTGTTGAACTTTTTTTTTTAAGGCGGTCCATACTGCTTGAAAGTTGGAAGTGGCGCCACTCGCCACGTCTCTGAACGCCGCGTGGCTAAACTTTCAGTTCGAGCGGTGGCGCGGTCTAACGGGCCACCTCAACGTCGACCGGAGCTACAAGTGGGCCAAGTACCCAAAATGGGCCAACCCAAAATGGGATCTGGGCTTAGGTGGAGCAGTAAGTTAAGGCCCAAGTAGCCGTTGGTCCCTTGAAGCACACCATGCAATCCAATTCTATAGGGTTTTAGGAGGCGCTATTCTCTCGCTCTCCCTCTCCCCCTCTCTCTCTGTGCAGTGTGTGCAGAGCTCTATAACTGCGGAGGCTCAAATACTCTCCCGGAGGTCAAGCTCACAATCCCAAAATGGTACTTGCATTCCTTTCACCTGTTTTTTTTTCATTTTGCAATTTTTTTATCTCCTCGTTTTTATTTCTCTTTTTCCCAATCGTCATAAAAAAAATTTCTCTTATTATTATCGTTTCCAAATCCGTATAATATGTAATACCCAGATCTAGATTTTCATGTTGGGTCTTTAACCTCTTTCGGCTTTGTACTGTAAATTCCGTTTTCATGATTTTCTGCATTGCCTGAAAAGTGAAATAAGCTCAAATTTCAGCTGTGCTGCTTGGTTTTGGTTCTGGATATTATAACGTTATTTCCTGTATAGATTTGAGAGCCAGAGAGTCGAAAAGAAGTTTTTTTGGCAGGCTGAGTTATGTTCTCTTTTACAAATGGGGTCATTTGGGTTGTTGTACTTTATGCTTTTGGCTTTTGCAGGCAAGAGGGTTGAAGAAGCATTTGAAGAGGCTCAATGCCCCGAAGCATTGGATGCTTGACAAACTTGGCGGTGCCTTTGTAAGTTGAAGATCTTATCTTTGTCTTCCTTTTTATGTTGATGCTTGTGCATGCATCCTCCTTATTTCCCATTTTTATTCCTTACATTCTTCTTTTATTTTTCTTCCTTAGGCGCCCAAGCCTTCATCTGGGCCTCACAAGTCCAGGGAATGCCTTCCCTTGGTCATTATCTTACGAAACAGATTGAAATATGCTCTCACTTACCGTGAGGTCATTTCCATTTTGATGCAACGACATGTTCTGGTTGATGGGAAGGTTAGGACTGACAAGACATATCCTTCGGGTTTCATGGGTATGCTCATCCTATCTTCTAACTGAATCATTTATTTTTTCTTTTTCTTCTAGGCCTTGTTCTGTTTTCTTGTCAGTATGAGTTGTATTTTCATGAGAACAATTGTCCCATGGATATTGCTGTAGGATGATTTTTTATGTTCTCTTATCAAGGCACCCATATTTCACCAGTTGTTCGGTGCTTCGAAAGAAACATTAGATTTTGGGGTATTTAGTAGCAAAGGGTTTGTATATAACAGTATTCAATTGCTTCAAGTGCATATGTTCTGTGGATGTGTTCTATTCGTAAAATCGCATTGGTATTGGGAGCTGTGTCCCTCCAATTCACGGCAATAAATTTTGACTTTGAAGAACTTATATTCCCCCCTGATTTGCAGATGTTATTTCAATCCCCAAAACAAATGAGAATTTCCGTCTCCTTTATGACACAAAGGGTCGGTTCCGTCTCCACTCGATCAGGGATGAAGAGGCAAAGGTTATTTCTTTGAGTTCTCTGGATATATTTTTCCTTATTTTATTTTCAAAGTAGATAACTTGAATTCAACTTAAGTATTGGCTGTGCTGTACTAGTATGCAAGGTGGTTTTATGTAGGCAACTAGCATTTCATCTTGTTAACTAATGGACTTTCGCTTTTTTCTGATATTTTGAGATGGTTTTTCTCTGCAGTTTAAACTTTGCAAAGTCCGGTCAGTGCAGTTTGGGCAAAAGGGTATCCCGTACATCAACACCTACGATGGGCGAACCATTCGCTACCCTGACCCTCTCATCAAGGCCAACGACACCATTAAGCTTGACCTAGAGAGCAACAAGATCACTGACTTCATTAAGTTTGATGTTGGGAATGTGGTCATGGTTACAGGTGGAAGGAACAGGGGGCGTGTTGGAGTAATCAAGAACAGGGAGAAACACAAGGGAAGTTTTGAGACAATCCACGTTCAGGATGCCACCGGCCATGAATTCGCTACTCGGTTGGCTAATGTGTTCACCATTGGCAAGGGGACGAAGCCATGGGTAAGTCTTCCTAAGGGAAAAGGTATCAAGCTCACTATCATCGAAGAGGCCAAAAAGAGGCAAGCAGCCCAACAAGCATCCACTGCCTAATTAATTACGACACCCTTTTTAATTTTGTTGTACTTGTGTGGTCACTGTTTTCGCGGTTAGACTTAGAACAATTAGTTCTGAATTTGTGATTCAAAATTTTTTCCGGCTTGTTTTGCTCAGTACTGGTAGATTGTTGACATCAATTTTTTATAATCTTATACTTATTTGGTGCTCCTCTTTGGCCTTGACGGGCATATTCAATACTTGTCTTCACGTTGTTATTTCTTACTTCTTAATGCCAAATCTGAGATATTCCGTTCTAGCGTGAGCTTTATATGCTGGGTATGATCAAGGTAGCATTGAACTTGGAAATTAAGTCCAGGGTCCAAATGCAACCAAATCTCACCCGTTGAGGTGCATCAAAGAACTCTTTGATACGGCAGGTCAAGCTGTTTGAGCCCCTAAATTCATAAGAGTAAACTGCCAAATTACCCCCGAACTATCACCTAATTTTCAATTTTCAATTTCCTCCATGACCTTTTTTTGGTTGTCAATTAAGATAGGAACTAATTCAATTGAGATTTTAAAAGAATTTAAAAGTTTGAGTGTATTCAATTCAGATTTTTAGATTTTAAAAGAGTTTGTAAAAGTTTGGGTGTATTAAATTCAGATTTCAATTTACATTAAAAGAATACATCGAAATCCAAGTGCATTCAATTATGACTTTTTAAAAGTCAAACAAAATTAGGTGTATTCAAAAAGTAATTTATTTTGAAGGAATTAATGAGTTGCCTGATTTCGTTAGAAATTAAAGTGGTAAGTATAAATACAAAAAGCCTTGACAAATCTTATGTTAACCCTAGAAACTTTGAACGTGCTCTACGCTTTCCAGTCCTTGAACGCGTGTGTTTGTCATGTGGAGGTAAAAAATCTCCTCTCTTTTTCTACGTTATATATTTTTTCTTATGAACTAATTAAAACTCTAATAAACTCTTTTAACATCTATGATAAAACTCTAACAAACACCATTAAAATCAATCTTGGAATTCAATCGAACTCTATATGGAGTTTATAGAAATCAATTGAAATATATTGAACTCTATAAACTTTATAATTCCATTTAACTCTTTTAAAATCTTAATTGAATACACCCCCTAAAATTGCTTAGAGAAATTCTTATATCTAGAGGATCAAAAATGGGATAATTGGTGAGACCACCTAAAATTGTATGCCGTTACACCTATAGGAATTGATTTGAAACTAACGAATGGGCCTGCAGGGAGTGAAAATAGGAAGAAAAATAGAGGGCTAAGAAAAGTCATTATATAATGAAGGCTTTATATATGGTGCTCAGGTGATGTGCTATCTTTTAATTATTGAATTAAACTGACCAATTTTATTCAATGACTAACCAATTTAATCTGTAATTAAAAAATCCGGTCTCATCTAAGGACCATATATGAGTCTTCACCATAGAGTTCTTGAGGCTTAGAAACCGAATGGGCCTGGAGATAAAGTTGCATTACATAAACCAAACGGTCCAATCTAAGGCAAAGGTGGCAAAATATAAAAGACAACAAAAAGCAGGGGTCAAAATAAAAATTTCCAGAATTATAGCGATAAAATGGAATTTCAGCTTTAAAATGTTCCCGGGAAAGCTTTTTCCAATTCATAAATCCTCAGTAAACCCAGGATGAAGCAAAGGTAAATCTTACTCAAGCTTTTAATCAGGCTCCGCGTATAAATAGAGAGGTCCTTTTGATCCATTAAGGTTTACGCCGACGCGATTCTCTTACCTCGCCATCATGTACGGAAACGAATGCCCTAGAAGCTAGAAAAGGGTTCTTCTCTTTTCTTCATCTCCTTCACTCTTCTTCTCTAACACAGCACAAGAACGAGACGCTTCGTCAGCTCCATTTATTCGGCTTTTCTCATCAGGTTTCTCAAGTTTTTCTTTTCTTTTTTCTGGGATTTTTTAGAGGTTTTCTTTTTCTTTTTCTGATATGAATGGTGGATTTTTATTTTTTATTTTTAGTTGATGGATTTGGAATTTTCATTTATAGAGTTGAGACTGGTATCATTTCATCTGAAAACTATGACGTTTAGGGTTCTTAATGCTCATTGTTACTGGATCTTTTTAAGTTTTAGTTTTTAATTTTATGTATATGAATTTTACTCTGCTTAAGAACAGCTATCTGGATATTTGACCCCAAAAAAAAACACAGCTCTCTTGATATATATATTTTTCTTAATTAAAGCTTCTTCTTTTTCTTTTTGGTATCAATTGTTTTTTCTCATTTGGTGTAACTATTTGAATGTGCAAGACGTGGATAACATACAAGATATCGCACAAGGGATGCAGGAATTTAAAATTGAAGCGATCTCATGCACTTTTCCTCAGGAAATCATACAAGAGATCCTACTTAGGCTACCCGTCAAATCTGTTATCAAATGCACCTCAGTGTGCAAGACATGGAGGTCCATGATCATAAACCAAAGCTTTATTCACACCCACCTCAACCCAACAGTCCATGTTAATAACCTGAACGCCAGTCACCTCTTCCTAATCCACAGGGTTGCTGGTAGGAGGAGCCTCACTATGTTCCACAAAGCCCTTGTTGACGATGTACTGGAAGAGGTTTATTCTCTGCATTATGATAACAAGGCTTTTGACGAGTACTCCAAGATAGAATTTCCAATTGCTCCAAAGCAAGAACTGTACAATCCACATCTTCGTGTGGTCGGCACTTGTAACGGGCTAATCTGCCTTCCGTTATGGTTACAATATCTTTATATGGAACCCAGCCATTAGAAAGTTAGTGACACTTCCCTATCCTGGTGTTACCTATATGACACATGGTGGATACAATGCTTCTATTGGGTTTGGTTTTGATGCTAATACCAATGACTATAAGGTTGTGAGACTTGTTACCCTATTGGATATGGCTGATGATAGAACAACTGTAGCTGAGGTTTATTCAATAGCCACTGGCTCATGGACCAGTCTGGATTTTGTTTATCCTTCATGTATACTACGTGGACGCGAATCCCAGGCTTTTGTTAATGGGACTCTTCACTGGCCTGTACTCCGCCGGACAGATTATGGCAATGAATATTTTATATTGACATTTGACGTGAGCAGTAAGTTATTTTGTGAGATGCCTGTGCCAAGGAGTTTAATATGGGATTTCAAACTGGAATTACAATTATCTGTTTCAGGAGATGGAAAATCCATTTCTCTGTTCTTAATGGATAACAAAGGTGAAGACCGTTTTCTTGATATATGGGTGATGAAAGAGTATGGCATAAAGGAGTCGTGGACCAAATTGATTACTCTTGGTCCACAAGGGCCGGAAAGACTTATACCCAGGGCATTATGTTTTAGGAAGAGCGGCGAAGTATTACTGATGCTTTGTGGAGCTAGGGAAGAATATTCTGATCATAGTTACACTTTTGATAATTACTACATAAAATCAAAGCATGAGTTAGTATCACTAGACCTTGTGAACAAAACCGTTAAAAATCTTGGTGTTCCCGGAGAAGGATATCAATATTGCTCCGTTCATTCTTTCAAAGAGGTCCTTGTATTACTCGACCAGACAGATGCAGTTTCCTACTAAGAGAAGGAACAGACAGGTGATGTGATTATAATGCTGAGAGGCAGAGCATTTCTTGTCAAGAACAAGTTTTAATTCTTAGCTTGTCAGATTTTTATATTCACTTAAGAGCTGATAGATGATTAAATTGATGTGGGTTCTTTTTATGTCCATTAACTTATCTTTCGTCTAACTGAATTTGGAAAACAAGAAGTTGAAACCAATACTGATAAATATGTTTAGACTGTGGAACTGTTGCTGCCACGTAGTGAGTTTTATGTATTCATATTGCAGTCTTATTTGCTGCTGTAATATATATAGAATTGTTCAACAGTTTGTGCAGTGAATTTCTTTTCCAATGCTTTTCATGAACAGGGTACTTAATTTTCTAATTAGTCTTCATTTATGTAAAGCATGAAGAGGAAGTTATATTTGCACTAACAGTGGTTTTTATTCGATTTCTTTTGCGACAGACTCGTAGGGCTGCAACGTCCTTTTCCTCAAGTGCCTGAAATGCTGGTGCATTTTGTTGACATGGAACTTCTTATCCCAAGTGCTGATATATTTTCTCGACTAGTTTTTAGGACAATTATAAACTTAGTTTTTGACCTATGGAAGTATGCACCTGTTACATATTTGAATTGGTTATGCAGTTCTAAACTAGCGACTGATTTTGCAAATTTTTTCCCTTGGCTCAACAATTAACAGTATTTGAATTTGATATGATTCCCTTCGCATTGGATATGTCATTGCGTCCATATTCTCAATTCACTGAGTCCAAAAATAAACCAAGCATGATGAACATGGAACCCTTGCAGAGAAAACTTCCTAAATTCATATAACTGTTTTAGCATTGTGCTGCAAAGTTTAGCACGAGTGAAGAATGATATGTCTGCGTCCAGATTTTACAATAATGGATGAACTGGTTCAACAAAAAGTTCTTAACAAACAAGTAAAAGTATACGCGGAAGCTAATTTTAGTAGAGTCCGCTAAAGGGTGGCGTAATCCGAAATGGTGTTGGCATGCCCTTTTTCTTTCCTTTTTTTAGCTCGGAAGATTTTTGTTACCTTTTTTAACTCGGAAGATTTTTCTAGGGTTCTGCTTGCCGTTTCTCTAGAGATAGGTAAACCCTGGACCTCCTTACTCTTAGATTGTGGATCTCGATTTTTTTTAGTTATAATCTTTAGTTATTTAGTGCTCCTTTTTGGCCCTGCAGCTGGTGATTTGAGAAACGTCGTTTGGCTGCATGCACTTGAGATAAAGGTAAAAAGCTTTTGAGGCTATGCGTGAGATGCCCATCCTTTTTATATGATTTTGAAGGGCATATAAGGAGTACGAGAGTCCTTGCCCTTTTCAAGTCCTAAAAGACAAAGAAAATTACTAGAAGCGCCACAATGAGTACTTGGACTGCAAGTGCTGGCACCAGTTCATTATGGTCACAAAGACTATAGTGCACCTTTTTTGGTTTTTGTTTGAGACCATATGCTAACGTCTATTGGAAAGTACGTAGAAACAAACAGGCTCATATATTTCGCTAAGGTTTTGCATTAATAGAAGGATAAAGTTCATATGCTGCATTTTTAACTAGCTCGACTAAACAAGAACCAAGGTTCTAACCACACAATCAAAAATCTCTAAACAAGAACCATCAGCACAACAGACCACGCAAGCACCTTCAAACTGGTAACCAATAAAGAAAGGCAATAGATTCATCATCACGCAGCAATTGCATCAACGGCTCCATCCCCATGAAGCAGTGCCTGATCGAAGTGCCAAACCCCTGGAATGGACAGGAAACAAGACAGTTTTAAGAAACAGAAAAATCAGAGCAGATAAAGTAAGGCCATATTAAAATATACAAAGATAACAATATAGGATAAAGTAAAGATGACAATGATATTGGATAATTGGTTCCTACCATGTCCTTTGCCGACTCTCCTTAGTTGAGCAACATATTCAGATATTTTCTTGATGGCTTCCACCTGGAGAGGTAAAAGTAGAACATCAAAACCATGCCGTATAGAAACCTTTCCAACTCAGGATAAACAAAGAAGGACATCAAGAATCACCTGCTCAGTCAAAAACTCGCTTTCAACGAAATCTGTTAACTGCACATCTTTGTTCTTCTCAGCAACCTGTTAGTCGCATAGTCAAACATAAAAGCATGTGTTAGAAGCTAGAGCATAGCATAAAAACATTTGAATCTTCAAACATAGTGGCGCATGTAAATTGATACCACAAAGCAAACGATGTTACTACTGAAATGACATCAAATTTACCAATTATAATCAGGTAAAGAACATCATCATAAAGTTAAGAAGATGGTGTCAAATAAGAATAAACGCCTTACATGGTGTAAGTTGAGCAGCTTTTCATTTGTCAGTTTCTCCAGAGACAATGCAAGCTCCATTGCTAAATCAAAAGAACAGGACAGAGTTTGAGCTCAATAATAAACAGTTAACACAGTATATTACAATCCCTTCAAATAATCCAATGGCTGAACACATCTGCATAAACCAAGTCTTAGGGCCATGCCATTCTTTTTTTTTTATTCCCTGAACTATCATCCAGCACACACTTAATGAAACACTTCACATCCAATTTTATTGTTAAGCAGGCAACCAATGTCTTCAAAACTCAAGTATACTGTGCTATGACACAACTAAACACTATTTGATGCGAGCACATCACTGAGAAAAAAATTGATGCAAATCCCAATTGAATGATCATTTGGAAAAGGAACACCTTGAGCATAGAATAAAAAAGAATGGTGTCTGGGGGCCAAAATTTCATTACAAGGGTACAGTTTTCATCACAAATACACTAGGGCGAATAAAACTAACCATATAAAGCATCTCCCTTCTCTGCATGATCAAACTCAGAAACAGGCATCAAAATAGACTGCAATTTCACTCTTCCACCGCGTTTATTCTAAGAATCACCACAAAGAAAAAAAGAGATAAGCAATTCAATTTGACAAAAGAGAAACTGAATTTAAAGCCTATTACAGTAAGCAATACATGGAAGATTATATATTAAGCAAGGAATAAACCAAACACCTGGTATTCCATAAACTTCTCAGCATGGTCCCTCTCTTCCTCACTCGATTCCTTGAAAAACCTGTATAGAACAAAACCATGAACAACGAAATTTATGTATAAGATTTGTCAAAATAGTATTGAAGAAGTCCAAGAAATTACTTGGCAAGACCCTTGAGCGCTACATTGTCCCTGTCGAAATAGGCAAACATGGCATGGTAAACGTAGGAGACGTTGTATTCCACACTGATATTCCATCAAAGAAACAAATAAATCGTTAGAAAATAAAGCATAAACAAATATAATCAAATTTCAATCAGAAATTAGAAAAGAGGCTCAATTACATTACTTTTAAATGAGACATTGAAATCCAAACTACTACTCAAAACGCAAAGATTTGCAACCACATCTTTACACAAATCCACACTCAGAGAGAAAAATCCACATTAAACAATTAAAGGCACAATTTTCACATGAAAGATGAAAATGCTTTGACACACATAATCGGATAATGCTTCAAGATTGAATTTTTAAGACTTCAAATCAATCATAGTCTTGAAGAACTATTAAAAAAACATTTCTTTCGTGAAAATATAATATTTGAAGGAAAAAGAGACAAAACCCACTTGATCTGTTCGTTAATGGCTGCCTCACTTTCATCGGTAAACTTCTGGCGAGCAAGAGAGACTTGTGGGAGAGTAGGTACGAGTTCTAGTTCCTTCTTCACCTCTTCAAATGGCTCGAAAACCACACCGGTAAGTGGCCGATTATTCGCATTCTTGGACGCACAGACCACAACCCCACCTTCATTTCTCGTCGGAGGGAACCGAAGAATCGAATTCAGAGATGTGAACGAGTTCAGAGGAGAGAACGAATACGAAAGCTTGGACGAAGATGAAGATGGAGCAGAGGAAAACAGAGGACCCAAGTTCTCCCCGCGAGTGATCAAGTGAGAGGAGGCTGGAGAACCTTTGAGAAGCATGGTTGCAGAGAGGAAAACACACGGATTGTGTGAAAGAATAGGAAAATTAGTGTGGGTGAGAGAGAATCGGGGGTGGAAGAACAGCTGAAAGCAGAGGAAAATGAGGGTTTGAGAGAGGAGTGTGCGGTGTAGAGGTGAGGATTGAGAAGTGGAGAGAATGGGGTCACTATATCGGTGGCCAAGGGCTGCTTGGACCGTTGGATTAGAAAAACGTGGACGGCTTGGATTGAATTGTTGGAATGGGCGCGTGGCAGGCTCGTGCCATCCAAAGGAAATATCTGGAATGTTGGGGCGTGCGTTGAATTCTCTTGGAAATTTTTTTATGGTTTCTTTTCGGTTTGCTTTTTTGTGGCCAATAGGAGAAAGAAAGTGAGAGAAAGTGAGATAAAGTGAGAGAATCTTGTTATTTCCCTTTCGGATTTTCATTAAATTGGGGAATAAAATTCTCAATAGGACTCTCAATTATGGTATGGGATAACTACAAAAGCAGGTAGAGCCATGAAGGTTATAAATCACCTATTTTGCATGTAGATTTAGCCGGCAATGCCATGTGTAAAACTCTACATTATTGTGCTACGAATGTTCTCCATGTAAAGCTATAGGAAGGACAATGACACATGGTCCTCTCATTGGCAAAAAGGGTTAGCTTGATTGCTTAATAACGGCTATCGAGACCGGTCTCATACTCGAGAAAGGGATTTGTTTTCTCTAACATGTAGGATATCTATTCAATTTAATGAGTCAAATCTTTCATTTATTAGGAACATCAAACGTTCAATCAACATTAAGGGTCCGTTTGGGAGTGCTTCTGAAATAGATAAAAGCACTTTTGACAGCGTTTTGACAAAAAAGTTTAGAAGAGCTTTTGAGCCATAAAAGCGCTTTCTGGATAAGCATATGCCACGTGCTTCTTCAGAAAGCACTCCCAAATAAGTCATTTGTTATTCGAGCTTCCAAATGAGATCGAAATGGAGAAATATGATCAACATGCCAATCTTTTGGATATGACTCGTGACAAAGCATGTTTTGTCGTTGAAAGGTTTTGTGTCACACTCTCTTTGTATATAATATCCTTTAGAGCAAGTTGGGCTGTCTTTGTCAATATGAAACGGCTATTAAACTAAAGTTAAATAGACTATATAATTACGACACCCCTCTCTCCAATAGCTTTCAAGAGGTTAAGTGTTTTTTTTTTTTTTTTTTTTTTTTTTTCTTTAAGTTAAACTAGTCTCTCAGCACACGTGCGAGAGCCTTTTCTGTTAAAAAACAAATTAAATTTATTTTAGAATTTAAAAAGATAGTGGATAGTTGTGTACTATAAAAATAGGATTCATTATCTTATTTTTCTTTTAATTTTAATTTTGTTAATATGAAAAAAATGTAATTTACCATATTATCCTTATTTAATTAATAATTTTAATTCTTAATATTTGAATTAACTAAGGATATTTTCTAATATTTTGAATGTTTCATCATTCTCTACTTTTTGCTTTATATATATATATATATATTATAAATTAGAATACTGGAATGCAAGCATATGATTCATTTAACCGCGAAGGGCACCTATGATTTTATCCTTTAATTTACTAAAGATAAATAAATAATATATATATATATATATATATATATATAGGCTGGATGTACTCTTTTAACCTTGGGTTCCGTCCATGTCATTAGGCTGCCCCACTGTTTTGAGTTGAAGGCAGCTAATCTTAAATTGGGCCTTGTCTTAGGGCCCAAAACACCCTTATATCCAAGGGCAGCCATCAATCTCAATTTCAACACAACATAAGAACTTGGGCTTGTTTGAACTAGAGGTACTGTATGGGCCTAATATATATATATTTTTTAAACTTGGACCTACCAGAAGAGCATTCCAATTTACCTCCAGTGATGGCCTGTTTTTGCAGTTGTAGCCCAAATTCAATTGCCAGGATCTCCTTTGACGGAGATGCTCCTATAATGAGGGGAATTTGGGTGAGGGGGTTGAACGAGGGTTCAATCTAACCCCTTGAAAATCTTGGAACTTTTTGTGTTGGTTACAGAAAATATTGAAACTTAAATAATGGATATTATGATAGTTAGCTTATATGCAATTCGACCTTTAATAATTGATGTTGAGACTGTTAGCGTAGATGTTATGTACGGCTCAATCTCAGAAAACAAATGGAATGTATGTGAACAAAAAGGAAGTAAGAAAATCAGCACCATAAATAAATATATATATTGTATAAAGTTTCATTTGACGTATGTAAGAAAATATATAATATTTGCCTAATTACTTATAAAGGGAAATAACCGAACCAATTCAACTGGTGATTTTACATTGAATCCGGTGTGCCGGTTGAGACCTAAACCAAACCAAATCAAACCAAACTCATCCATTTTGTTAATAATGGACGTTGAGTGCTGCCATCAAAGTACGTAAAAAAATAAATGGAATGGAAAGGCCAACAACCAGCAGAGACCAAGAGATGAGCTTATTACCTTATGATATTGTGAGATTACCAACGTTGGGAAGAAAAAAAAAACCCTCATTTGTTGGTTTGCAGAAATGAGAATCAAATTTGCAGCAACAGTATCATGAATTGATAGAAAAACCATGCATGACCGCGATGCTCATTTAATGCTGGCGTTGGAGGTCTCATGTTTTTCCTTGTATGGTGGTGAAGATGTCTGTTTCTTCCTTATAATTTATTTGCATTAGTTTTTAGAGATTCTCACACAAACCAACCAAGCAACAAGCTTTTCTTTCTTAATTACCCCTTTACTAGATAGATAGAGCAGCTTAGGTATCTTAAACCCTGCTTTATTAAAGGTTAAAATGTAATTAGTAGTAGTACATGTACCACTCTACTTGTAAATTATTTTATTTGGTAATTTAATAATCATATTTACTCTGGAAAATAACCTAATAGAACCTTCTACATGTACAGTGAAAATGATGAAATTAATCTCAAAGTAAATATTATTTATGCAACTGAAGGAAGGAGAAGGTGTTTTGTTTTGTTTTGGAAACATGAAAAGAAGCATGGAATTGTGTGATGGGTTATTAATGCAACGCGAGAGACTTTGGGGTTCTTCAAATCCTATAATAAATAAATAAATAAATTTCAGTACTAATCTCCGTCGAATGGGGTTTCATTTAAATAATCTATGCAAGTTATAACTTATGTCAGGGCCTCATTAATTTCTTGATAAGGCTTGGTTTTATTATATAAATTTCCATCCATTATAGTAAACCTATATGGTTTTATTTAGCAGAAAGGAAAGAAAATTAGGTGATTGAAATTTGTGCTTGATATTGTTAGATCATGTCTAATATCAATTAGCAGTTATAATATTTCTGATAGTGATGACTAATCACGGGTTTATTCAACATTGCTTAATTTTCACAAATTATTATTTGTATATACATGCACTCTGTGATGGAAAGCTCACGGGATCAGTCTCCTTCCAAGTGCTGAAAAGTATCACAACCTTATCAATCTGTCTTCTTTGCTTGTGGTGCTCAATGAAGCATGCATGCTATACAAGCACACTCAGACTCAAATGCTCTCTCTCTCTCTCTCTCTCTCTCTCTCTCTCTCTCTGTGGTAGGTCCTCTGCAGCTTTAACGATCATTCTAAATCCTTCTGCAAGGAGCAAGTTGGCCAAAAAATGAAAAATAAAAAAATAAAATAACTCACATATGCAACTTGATAAAAAATCAAAACAACAAACACAGAGTTAGGGTAAGGTAGGCCCCATAATGCACTAGCGAGAGACCCCGTCTTCGGGGTATATATAGCAGTAGCTCTAGGTACTTTAAAAAAACAAAGTTGTAGTCATATAGAATATTAATATTGGTGAACTTATGATATGAATACATTTTCTGGACCGTTTGTTGATCTAACCAATGATTTGGGTCATATTCACAGAGAGAGAGAGAGAGAGAGAGAGAGAGAGAGAGAGAGAGAGAGAGAGAGAGAGAGCATTAATATTTTTTGTGTGCATTCACGTGAATGTTTGTGGGTCTAAGTTGTAACAAACATTCATAATTAGCCTCTTTTCTAGCTTAAGAAAAAAAAGAAGAAGACCATTTTCATAACAAAATATATATTTTTATACAAGTTATTAAGAAAGGGTAAGAATTATTAATCTTCAAAACCTAGTAGTTAGCCATCCTAATCTCCTAATAAGCTCAAAAGGAGATGTTCAAATACAAGCAAACAATGCAAACAGATCCACTGCAGAACAAAACAAATGCGGAAAAAAGAGTCAAAGAAGAACGTGGAAGCCATGTACAACTATTTGAGATGGCGAACCTACAAAATTAGGCGGCTGCTAACTATAACCGTTGGTTTTCTAGAGTCGGTAAGCCCAAATTTAGGTGGGGCCCTGCAAATATACATGAAGAAATTAACTCATCCATTTTTTAAGGCACTTACAAGAAAGCATGAAACGAATTGTAAACTCGAATATATTAACGTTGAAGCATCGAAAATTAACAAAAAAAGTATACACTGGCTAGGGATAACGTTGTGGCACGGTTAGGACTAAAAAATCCAACACCAGAACTCAATGATACCCACGTACTCTCTCATCTGAGATATTAACTATTTATATTAAGTCACTTATTTTAATATCAATTAATTGCTTAATTAATTTTTATTTTTCTTCTAAGACAGTGTTTTTTGATCTATGTGCACACTTAAAGGCCCACACGTTCTCTTCTATTATAAATACATACACAACCTTTTCATTTTTCTCCAAGTTGTAGTTTTCAGTCAGTCACACAGTCCTTCTTCTCCAAATTAAGCTTTTCAAAATCAACATGGTTGGAACTTCACCCTGTGCTTCCTGCAAGTTGCTGAGACGCAGATGCGCCAAGGATTGCATTTTTGCTCCTTACTTTCCAGCTGATGACCCCCACAAGTTTGCCATTGTTCACAAGGTCTTTGGTGCTAGCAATGTTAGCAAAATGTTGCAGGTCCTTATTTCTATATTCTCCAATTCTCTTCTGTGTTCTTTTTTTCCTCTGTAGATGAACGAGGAGAGATTTAAACTTAAAACCGCTTTTACCATGGGAAAGAGACATACTACTATACTAAGAGCTAGTTGGTGTCGTATAGTGAACTCATCATTAAGTGTACCCTTTAATTATTTATATGTATGCAGGAGCTTCCAGTTCATCAGAGAGCAGATGCAGTGAGCAGCTTAGTGTATGAAGCCAATGCAAGAATGAGAGACCCAGTTTATGGGTGTGTTGGGGCCATATCTTACCTGCAAAACCAGGTCTCTGAGCTACAAATGCAACTTGCTGTGGCTCAAGCAGAGATTCTCTGCATTCAGATGCAGCATGAGCCTACGGTTCCTACCCCACAGCAGATATCAGACTCAGATGAGAAATCATATTTTCTCCCCAACAATTTCCCTCAGTATCTAAATTTTCCCTCCTCTTCCAGCAATGTAATCCATGACTCTCTCAAGAGGGAGAGCATTTTTGGACATGACATGGTTTCTTAATGAAATTTCTCTCATGTATTAGACTTTTAATTAACTAATTAATCATAGCCCAGTGGTTTTCTCATTTTGATCATGTTTTTGTTAACGAGACTCAGAGGGGTGACTTAAAAAACAAGGGTAAGATGTTGGGGTCAACTCTAGCATGTGATGAGGTGATAAATTCTGATCAGTAACTTATTAAACAAACAAATATGCTTCCATGGATATATTAACGCATAGATGCAAAAGGGTCGGTGCTCATTTTAACCAATCCGGGACATAAATTCTTGTGACTTGGATTAAAGTCACATTAATCTACAAGCTTTCACACTCTGTCATTGCAGCTGAAATTAACACATTTGATTTTTTTTTTATGTCACACTTAAATAATTATGTGATGGTCTACCCACTTCCGATTCGACCTATTACCATCTCTAATGTAATGGTCTTTGAGTTACCTAATAAGCCAAAGTTGAGAATTTCATGGACCTCGATCCTGTTGCAGGAAAGACAAATCCAACATATACTGCTCTTGTTTTCGAAACCCCACCAATTCAAAAAGTTTATTTCTTCTACATATAAGACACAGAATATAAGGAATTTCTACTATTTAATTCATACTTTGAGTCTCATGTTTTTTCACATGGCCAAAGATGCCATTAAGTTTTCTAAGCCAGAGGCATAGCATCACTTCAGGTAAGTCCTTTTGGAAGTGAGAAACTGCCGCTAACCTTCAAAATTTTCATGAGTGTCTTATATTAGGCCTGCACCTCCCCCTGCTTTGCTTCCAATTCTGACTTAGCTGCTAATTAAACTATTAATCTCAAGCCTAATCTTCAAAATTAGAAAAATGCCAAAAACTTGGCTTGCCGCCACCTGTTGCAGATAACAACTTGTTCTTCTAGCTTGTTCACGTGGGGTGTGGTGCAAGGAAGTGGTCAGTCGGTCCATGGGAAATATGCAGAAGTAGAAATCAATACCTTCAATATAATATGTTTTTCTAAATCCATCTGTCGATACATTATATGTCAAATCAAAGAAATAATTCAAAAGGGTAAAGGAAAAAACAAAAGGCAACAACTGAAGATTCCTCCTCAGCTTTGTTTAATGTGGAAGCATTAATTTCCCCAAGTCAAACGAAAGAGCTTTTTCTTTCTTTCTTTTCTTCTATCCCCATCAAATCCTCCTTTTTCTGCAGCTCGTTCTTGCTTGTATGCTTATGTCCAATGGTTCCTACCAGCACCACCATAGATTAACTGCTACTAGAAACTTAATTATGGGTATATATAAATATTTGTGTATAATTTTGGGTATTATTTGGTTGCTCAGAATGTTGTTTAAGTGGCCATTTCCATGTTTTTCCAATGGTTAATTTTTGTATATTTAATTGCCTGTGCTGTATATCTTTTCTGATATGATGGAAGGTGTCTGATTCTTAGTGTTTGGCCTTTTGTTTTTGTTGATTCAAGGGATTAATCTTTTACTGGTTGTTAATAAATTGATTAGTTTTCCTCTTCAAGATGGACACACAACAAGACAAACAGTGGTAGATTAGTTGTTTCTGTTCTGTAACAGCATATTAATTTAACCCAAGTAGATCAACATAAAACCAAAAGTGCTAAGAATTATTAAATTATTTTAATCAGCCTGCATGCACCTAATGACAGTAGTTTCAAATGCATGTATCATTTAGAAAGTGATGATATGTTGGACATTCATGATTATCTAATTTATACATCTTGCAAGTTTTAATCTTCCTTATTGACATAACTGTCACATCAGTTAAGTCTTACAGGAAACACAATCAAATGCCAGAAGAGGGCGCAAGTTGTTCACATGTTCATGCATGATGTAGTAGTTCCTAGATGTTGCTTGTATATAATTTGTCAAACAAGTTGCACACAAGTTTCAGCAAGAAGAATAGAACTTTGGGGGGCTAACTGGGTCTTCTAGCACATGAAACATCTGGTGGGATTTTAGAGCCAAAAGTTTTAGCAGAGTCAAAACGAGGTTGAAAACAAATAACCACACAGCAGATTGATTAAAATTATATAAATATATTTATCTCTTCATGGAGACAAGAATAGATAGTGGGAGCCTTTATAATTTATCTTTTGAGGGCTCGAGGTTAATTGATTGGATTTCAAAATATAATCTTTCTTCTTTCTCTCTTGTCTAAGTCATTCCATTTGATACTCTTTAAGACACTTTACTTGGATGCCAAATATGCCAAAGTGATTGAATGATTAAATGTTAATCACTTGTTGATTTACATGATTCTATATTAATCAAATATTCCTAATAGCATCTGCAAACACATCAATGTCGCTGTGGCTGGTTAATTGGTCATTTTCCTCTGCATAATCAAAGAAATCTCAATCATTATAAGGGCATTAGATTTTTTCCATAAAAGCAGAACAGCAACTGTTCATTTAAAGTCATGCATCTTTGTTTATGGATGCTCTGAAGTCCCTTTATGGCTACTATGCATATAAAAAAACTTCAGAATTCAGAGTGCACCCCAACTTCTCTTTGAAAAGTTTATATATTTTATTTAAGTCAGTATTTTTATATATTATTCATAGAGACTGAGATTTTCATGGTGGAGAACAATGCACTGTTTGACCGAAATTTGGCTCAGTTTGCTTTGACAAATTGACAAAGCAGGTAACCATATAGCTAGCTGGCTGGGTGGTTGACTTTTTAATTAGGTAAAGATTTGTCAGTGGGTGAAACTAGGTCTATGAATGATGTAAGGAAGCTTAACAAAGTATGTGATTAGGGCTCGCATGTCAGCAACAGAACTGAACTGCTAATTCCTCTGTGTCCATGTGAAAATGAGTTTACTTGTGTTTGCAAAATGGTCTAATGATTGAGTATTAGTGCAAACCTAATTATGTTCCATCAACTTACTGTCTGGTTTTAAGGGACATTGGGAAAAAGTAAACTTGATGCTAGAAGTGCCTCAAGGTCTGAAACTTAAAAAGCTTCCCTGGTGTTTTCTTTAAATGTGATGTAAAAAGTTGCGTAGTTTGAGCCTCTGTATATGGAGAACAAATGAAAGACGCCGTAACACAAATTAACATTTGCGCACAACCGCAATCGAACCCATGCACTTAACTACGATGGACACGGACCTCATCACCACGCTATAGCTAGAGTGTTGTCGCTTTCTTTTTATTTATTTACACTTATACTTGTTTTATATTATTCTTACCATCCAACCTCACCTATAACACGCTACTCTCATTCCATATTTTCTCATAATTTTCACAATCATCTTGTGAATTGAGAGACGAAAACGGAAAATTAAGTTGAGGGACCATTGGTTCTAAAAAGCCTTATTTTGTTTATATTAAAATACTTAATGTCTTATTATTTTCTCATAAAAATTTCAAAGTTTTTCTTGTTCATCCATTAAAAAAAAACTTAACTAAACTTAATTGTAAATGAAATTGGGTGTCTGTATCAAAAACTAACAATTAGTTAGCAAATTCTGTAAGTAACAAAGTTTGTCAGCTGACATTATATGTAATCTCAATCACACAAGCTCACCGTGTGGTTTTATAAATTTCTTTTGTTAAACTATTAGATAATTGATTAAATAAATATGTCTCGAAGTTTTATTCAAAAATTTCATATTTTAAAACTATTTTCATTATTTTTATTCAATTTCTATCGATATCGATATTTCTGTTAAAATTTCTGTGTTTTGGGACTCTTGATATTTCCGAAACCACCAATATTTAATACCTTAGTCAAAACAGAGGGAGAAAAAATATCTCCACTACGATTTTTATTGTTTCTGATTTAATTCTAATATGATAGGGGCTTTACTGTATTCTTCAAAAATAAGATCAGCCTTTACAGTCAGCTTTCCTTGTTGGGGATTCGACAGGGCAATTGTTGCACTATACGGGCTGCAATGAAAACAACCTAACTCAGCCCTTGAAGTAGTGTGGATAAAACACCTAGCATGCTAGTGCATCTCAAATGGCACTTGTCATAGTGCATCTCAAATGATTAGGTTACTAGTTGTTAATAAATTGATCTTTTAAAGGATGAACAAAGAATGATTAGTTTTTTCCCTTCAACATGAACACATAACAAGAAAAATAGTGGTAGATTACTTGTTTATGTTATGCAACAACATATTAATTTAACCCAAGAAAATCAACATATAATTAAAAGTGCTAAGTATAATTAGATTATTTTAATCAGCCACCTAATGACAGTAGTTTCAAATGTCATTCGAAAGTAATGATATGTTGGACATTCATGATTATCTAATTTATTAATCTTGCAATTTTAATTTTCCTTAGTGACATAACTGTCACATCAGTTAAGTTTTACATGAAACACAATCAAATGAATTAAGGATCCAATTAATCAAATGCAAAAGGGAGCAAGTAGTTCACATGTTATTGCATGATCCTATATGTTCTTTATATATAATTTGTCAAACAACTTGCACACAAGTTTCAGCAAGAGGAATAGAACTTTGGGGGGCCAATTTGGTCTTCTAGAACATGAAATATCTAGTGGGATTTTAGAGCCAAAAGTTTTAGCAGAATCAAATGAGGTTGAAAACAAATAACCAAACAGGAAATTGATTAAAATTATACATATATTTGACAAGACAAAGGTGTCTCCCCCCTACTGCTTCTTCATGGAGACAAGAATAGATGGTGGGAGCCTTTATAATTTCTCTTTTGAGGGCTCCAGCCTCCAGGTTAATAATACTTTCAAAACAGAGGTTATTGATTGGATTTCAAAATATCATCTTTCTCCTTTCTCCTTTCTTCTTTCTTCTTTCTCCTTTCTCTCTTGTCTAAGTCATTCCATTTGATACTCTTTAAGACACTTTACTTGGATGCCAAATATGCCAAAGTGATTGAATGATTAAATGTTAATCACATGTTGATTTAAAGGATTCTATATTAATCTATATTCCAGCTGCATTTGGAACCGCAGATAATTCCCTCCTAATAGCATTTGCAAACACATCACTGTGGCTGGTT